AGAGTTCTCGATTTCATAGTTAAAATTTCAAGCAAATAGGCCCATGTCGAAATATGTTTGACTTTTACAAAATATTTTGTGTACTTATAAAGTCACTCTCTCGATTTAAAGAAAGCAGCAGCACTTTTCAAGTTAAAGAACATATCCTTTATTTATATTCAAAAAATGGTTAGGATTTATTTGGTGTATGCCCTTGCGAAAGAACGATTTAATGAGGCACTTCGATGTAAAAAAATATTTAACCGGAACATAAAAACACGACAAAATTATTTAAATACATTCTCTCGATAGTTAATGAATAATCGCCCTAAACAAAGGATATACATTGGTATGAATAGCCTATTTAAAATCTGTAAATAACATTCTGTTTTATAACAAAGCGCATTTATCATTGTTAAAAAATTTCTCAATCTGCCTTTCACAGCACATGAAATACGTCATTTTTACAAAAATGACGTCATGATTGACAAGTTCATCGAGATCAGTGATTTGTTTATAGCCAGCTGTATGGGATTTTAACTAGCAAATTTTTAAATGCATTGATAAGTTTTATTGTTGTTTATTATGCTAATGCAGTTTAAAGTTGCAAATTATTTCATTTTCTGGTATTATGAGGAATACATAAAAGTCATATTTTAGTGTGACGTCACAGTAAACTTTTCCCGTATAAATTAGGCCCCGCCTCCTTATTTCAGCCTTAACAATGCTGCGCATCATAGGAACATTCGCTCATACAAAATGACATCCTCCAATTGACATATCATACGTCACACGACTGACATCATACGTCATCATATCTCACATGTCCTACTGTCTCATATGTTCTCATTCGTTTCATCCTATATCCTACTTTCTCATATGTTCTCATACGTCATTCAATTCATCATACGATTTACTATAAAGTAAATAAAATAAAATATTGTAAACAAAAATTCTTGTAACACAGAGACAATTCGGACTAGCAATTCGGCAGTGCCAAGGCAATTCAGACTAGTAATATATGCCAGAATATATGCTATCAATATCAAAGATAATAACCAAAAATTATACATTATAAATTAATATTCTATATATATTACTGAGTGTACATAAAGATATCTAACTTTCAGAACTCATGCTAACAAACAGATATAAGAGTTATTGCCCTTGCGATACACAGTTTAAGCCTAATGCATTAAACACCTATCCCAAACAGTATAAATATGCAGACCTATCAATGAATCTATAAATAATCTAAAAATTACTGTGTTCAATATAATAAATCTATAAATGTAGCTTTACATAATCAGTCATGATTAACCAATATGCACGACTATGTAGTCCATTATCAGAGTATCAAAGATACTGAATCATGAATAAAATACAAACATGCCTACATACACATATGTATTTGCTGGTGTTTGAATAATTGGCTTGCCGATTAAGTAGTTTTTTCCCAATTCCAGAGATGCATTGATCAAAAGTACAGACCAGAGAACGATACCTTTCAGCGAATGTTACTGCTTGTGCAGTACTCAAGAATATTATGTGTACTCAAAAATTTATGACGTAATACACTGACGTAATGGCGCTAAAATGAGTAAATGGCTATAACATACCATAAGATATATTTTAGATAACAACATATTGCATCCATGAACATTTAGAAATTTATGAATTCTAGTTTTTGTGCTATAACATGCATAACCCCCATGTAGTCGTATTGCTTTTGTGTTATGTTTTGATGTCCCACCGAGTGAGAAGAGTATCCTATACACGATTTTCATATTCACATCTGCTTTCATGAACATTTAGAAATTCAAGAATTCTAGTTTTTGTCCAATTACATATATAACCCCATATGTTGTGGTATTGCTTTGGTGTTATGTTTTAATGTCCCACTGTGTAACAGGAATATCCTATACGTAAGCATGCTAGTTTGTGTTTGTCACACTGTTATAATGCTCTTCAGGGAATACCTCTGCTTTTCCAGTCGGAGTTTAATACGCCTGATGCGCATGCGTCAGGAAGATGATATGGGGATACTTCATTATGCTTCATATTTTGGTCATTTGCTGTGTGTTCGGACTTTTCTGATGGAGGAATCGTGAATTTATAAATATAATAAAAATATTTGATATTATTATGAAATAAGGATGGTGCAATCATGTATTATGTAGTTAATTTTCTACATATTTGTAAATGAATTTATTTAATAAATAAGTAATATGTAAAAGAGATATTGCATATATAATGTGTATGCATGTGAAATGTTGATATTTAATGAATATTTTTCTGTCAATATGTGAAAATGACGATATTTGGATATATTTGTGTATATTTATAAAAGAGAGAGAAGAATATTGTGTTGATATATATCTACGTGTCACTTGATAACCTTTGAGAACATAATCCCATTGTTCCCTAATGTATATTCCAATCTCTTGCTACGTAATTTTTTTAATTGATGTTGATTGATATAATTCTTATTAAACATTCCATTGTTTCAGTAATTATAGTGAACTTTTGCAACTGTTTCTTCTCTTTCATTTTCTTTTACGTTTCTTAAGCTATTTTATTTATGAAGACTTTTTGATATAACGCAACACTTGTATGTTTTATGGAAGTACTAGTATGATGCAATTTTTATGTAAATGTCTTGATTAGAGATTATTCTAAGTCGATTTAACTCTACTTGTAAATTGATGCTTAAAAATTATTTTTTTTCAAAACCAGTTGTGACAGTATACATATCATGGTTGACATCCATTGAATAAATTATATTTTCTTATACAACGTCTTGCTTGAAATATGATGCAGAAAGGAAGGAATAATGATTAATGATAGATTAGGTGGGATTTTTTTTATAATAAAGCTAAAATAATAAGTTAACTCAGATACATATTAATGATGTTCTTAACATTGAACTTAAAGATTGCTCAGTTCTCTAGAAAATAGATTTTTTAAGCTAGTTCATACGTTTTTATGTAGGTGTTATGAAGTGAATTTAAATAAGTTTTTCATTTAACATCTAAAACCCAGGTCCCCTGTCACAGCAGGCGTTGACACGATAAAGATCCCTTACTCCTCAATTGCCCTGAGTGCCGTGAAATTTGAAGCCCTTCACCGGTATATGGTAACGTCTTTACATGAGTAAAAAATTATCTTCTGGGACGTAAAACAACAAACAATAAATCAATCATTCAACATATATCTCCCGCGTGGCGCAGTGGTTAGAGCGTATGCTGTAGAATTGGTAAGTAAGGATTTGATCCTTACGATCCCACAGTGGGATGTGGAGACCGGTCCTTCAGATGACACCATTAAAGCGAGGTCCCGTGTAGCAGTAAATGCTGGCACGAAAAAGACCCCTCACTGTTCAATGGCCTTGAGTGCCAAGTATAAGGCAAAATTTGCTCAACTGCATGTTAAATGGACATGGTCTAAATAATTATGTCTATAATAATAACGTTAAATGTAAATTTTTATACATTAAATGCACATTTCTAGACTGAAAATTATTGAACGATTCTCAAGATTGAATACTATTGTAATCATAAAAGTAATAAAAAAAGAAATCATGACTACAGCATTTTTTTCGATTTGGAACTGATTAGATTACGATTACTTGTAATAAGAAAGACCGGATGATTACTGACTTTTCATAATTACACAGTAAACTGTTGTCGATTACAACTGATTATTGATAACGATTACCCCATCCCTGGTAATGATTTAGGCAGGCATACGTGTTGACTACAATTCTGATCTCCACATGAATAAAGACTGTTTGACAGATATAAGATAGAGGGATGATATCCATTATCCCATTGTTAGACCTATTGCAGGTACTATGGGGGAGGATTTCATTTTTATGAGTGAAAATGTTCGAGCTCGAATCATAAAAGAGTACGTAGAAGGTGAAACTTCGAGACCTGAACCCTATTTAACATGCATGGGGCATTTTTCAGAAATGGATTTCAGTTCGACCAACAATTGCTCGAAATCGACAGGAGCTTCAGAAAGCGTTGCAGGAGGAATTGCAACAGATCCTTCAGGCTAGCCTTTCATGACTGATGAGCAGCATGGTTCGGCTTTGTAGAGCCGCTTTTGTACGTGCCGCGGGGAGGTCATATAAATACTAGCAATCATTTAACTGACATGATTTTACTCTGAAACATTGTTATTTTCGGGTCAACCTCCAGCACCCCGATTTTCACAGTGATCGTATTGAAGAACTTGTAGCAAATAAACTTGTTTCATTCAGTTTTTCATTTTCAAACTGTGAATAAAAATTTTGAGTCTATAGAATTGAAAATGCATTTTGTTTTCGATGATAAAGTAATTTTTTTCATTGTTAAGAAGTGTTCTACATCTTGAATATATTTTGGTCGCCAGCGTGGCGCAGTGGTTAGAGCCTCTGCTCTAGAGTCACCAATTAAAAGTAAGGGGTTCAAATCCCATTATGGAACACGGAGACTTATCTTTCGGAGACCGTTTAAACCGAGGCCCCATGCCGCAGAAGGTGCTGGCAGGAAAAGATTCCTCCCTGCTCAATGGCCCTGAGTGCAGAGTATAAAACAATTTAGCTCTCCACTGGCAATTGGTGGCGTCTCAATATGAGTGCAAAGTTCTCGAGAGGAGCGTTAAACAACAAACAATCATTTTTTACTCCTTTGTGAAATTTTTATCAACGAAACTCAAATTAAAGCAGAACAATGTACATAAGAATCTGCTAATGTATATTAAGTCAATTCATTGCAACTATTTTCAATTGTAAATGGAAACAGATATTTCATATTTAAGGTATTTTGAATTAAAAAGAATAGATGTTAAATTCCTTTACAATTGTACGGCAAGTAGAACTGATATATATGACATACATCTTTTCTCTCCTTTTTTGAATTAACAATTTCGCCCCGACAAGCAGGCCAATCCAGAATATTCAACCAACCCATAATATATCGACTTATATATAAATAGATGAAAATGGCTGTAAATTAATTCCAGGTTTCAAACATAATGAAGTTCAATTGGTGTCGTTACATTTTCTTTGTTAGCCTTTTGTATTGGCCTTCAATCATAATGGCGATATGTGGCATACTGTCACCATACTGGATAAAAATCAATGCTTCTTCAGACTGTTTTGTTGGAATCATAAACAATGTCAATTGTCCTGAAAATACAAAAGGTAAGATTTTGGCATTGCAACTTATGTTACAAAGATAGAACAACTGTTAAAGGCTGTTGTTAAGTATAGGATATTCCATGTATTTTACTGGATCCAAAAAAGAAATCCGGAGCTGAAAGATAAATGAACAAGAGAATAAAAGGGTAAGTTCCATAGTAATATACTTGTACATAAATCAATATGTCATCAATCAATTTCTTTTAAATAGGCAGTCATCACTAAAATTTATAATTTATCAATCCTTCCCAAGTGGGCTGTTGATTAAAATATTCATTTACAAGTGTAACTGATTCTTCTTGCATCATAAACATGATAAACATAAGACATAAACCACAACAAAGCCTTCGTCAATCACCACACGAGAAATAAACGATAAGTTTAAATTTCTCTGATAAAATATTGACATGTTTAAACCTGATTGAACACCAAGAGTAGCCTCAGTCTCGATTTAATACTACAACTTTGCTAGCCAAGGGTTTCTAATACGTACACCCAGTCAAATATTCAGCAATAGTTTTTTTTTTGTTGTTGTAAATTACGATATTTGCGTTCGGTATACTTCTTGATTCATTAATCTCGGAAATGAAAAACTCAAGTAAACAACAATCCGTAAGATAACATGCAATTCTATGAATAGCTATGGCGTCATCCAATATCTTCTAAATCTGTGATTAAGAATCTATATTGAAGATTCACATTTGTATTATAAATAATAAATAAACATTACACAATTATTGCTTCCTAATTATTTTTGAAAAAAAAAAAACAACAAAAATGTTTTTTAACACGCGTCTTTATTTCTATCGATGACGCAATCATTGCGTACCTGATAGATTGGAGATCACGTGACGAAAACAATACCATCTTTTGAATTCATCGTATGCCAAGGGTTCATGAGGAGATTAGAGTATCAGAAACCTTTGACTATCGAAGATGCTACATTAAAAGAAATGAGCCCATATATGAAAAAAGCTATCAGAATTCAATCAGAATATTGAGCTAGTTGACGATGTTCTGACCGTCAATTGACTAGAAGTTGAATTTTTGCCATGTAAATGAGGGAGCGTTCAACTCATTTTCATAGAATGGACCACTGTTGAATTGTCCTATATATTTTTTACAATAAGTCAATAGTTGAATATTCCTTTATTTTTGCATCTTTGCACTTGACCATTAGAATTAACCTCTAATTTCTTTGAAGTTGCATGACCGTTAGTTGAATGCTCCTTTATTTTCTTTGCAGTTGATCATTAGTTGAACTCTCTTCTTGACGACAGATTTTTCCGTTATTTTCCGATCGTGACAAGGAGCACATGGCAGGTGTGACCGGTCGGCAGGGGATGCTCACTCCTCCATGGCACCTGATCCCACCTCTGATGTTTCGGAGGTCCGTGTTTACTCTGCTCCTATTTCGTATTGTTTTATAGACTTTGATCTTGAATACTTTTCGTTATCTTCACATCTTCTTTTATTATCTTTACACTTGACCAATTGAGGGAGATTTGAAATCTTAGATAAGCTGTGTTCATGAAAATTAAGCTGCCGTGTTTCTGAGTATGAAAAGTCAAAACAATGAAGTTTCTAAAATGACATAATCTAAATACATGATAAATAAAGTAAGCTGGCACATTCTCATAATTTACTACATGCCGTCTTTAATTATTTTTTGTGCAGATAAAGAATAGATTTTGTCGCAAGCAAAGGCAAATTTTTACCAATACAGCAAAAAAAAAAAAAAAACAAACCGCAACAAAACGACACTTTTAAATATATTTTAATAAGTACACATATAAAAGCTACAGATTTTGTCTTCCTACTATCTGTATAAAAAAATAACAAGTACGAGAAAAATCTTAAATGTTTCAATTTCAAATTCCTTTTTTTAGAATTATTATTATAAAGTATTAACATTCAACTGATGGTAAACTGGCCTTTTTATGCAAAACAGTTAAACTCTTTCCAGAAAAGGTTTCAACTCCTTGTGGTCAACTGTTCTTGTGTTAAAAATTAAAGAATAGTTGATAGCTACATGTAGTTGACGACAAGTTGACGGTTACACATTTTTGTATCCACAGAAATTATAATATTTTTAGAGAAAAATCAAGTTGCATGAAATGCATGCCTTTGTAAATTGAATTTAAAGACAAATGCAAGGAATGAAATGATTTATTTATTGTATGCTGTGTACGCCCCATTCACAAGTTACATCATTAATTTACTATACATGTATGGGCGAAGAGCTTCGAATTTAGAAGTCACTTTAACTCGGCACCCTGGTCATTGAGTAGTGAATGTTTTTTTTAATCGTGCCAGCGCCTACTGTGACTCGCAGACTCGTCTTTTGCACCCCTACTAATGTATTTGTAATTTTAATTTAAGACATGTGGTTTAGGTTGACCTATTCAAATGTTATAGGATAGAACCGGTTTTATTAATAAAATTGGCAGTAAGCAGGAAATTGCTTTACAGTCTATTTCTTTTGAAAACATGTCATGAGAAAAATTTGTTTCCAGACGTATCTGAAAGACTTTCATGAATTTCAACAGAAAAAGGTTGCTTAATGGGGAGGGGGCTAAATAAACAATAAATCTAATATAATAATTTACGGCGAAAATTAAAGCTCACCATTGACCAATACGCTGGTAAAAATGTGTAATATCATCTTCACTAACAAACCTTGTTTGCCTTATATGACTATTGTTATTAATGCGCACAGATGATATAACCAAGAGCAACTGACCAATCGTTGAATGGATAGCAACCTTTATGCCAAATACATGTTTACATTTTACTTTCAGTATGTTGTTCAGGCCAGTCTATGAGGGAATGCAAAATTAAAGAAAATGTGCTTTTATGCAAAAAAAAATACAAAGAATAAAAACTATGGAAGATGTCACGGGCGTTTTTAATTTTGTTAACTTGAAAAAACATGTTTGATAAAATGTAGCTTGTGTCAAGTTAAAAACACTAGCGCTTCAAGGGTAACGAAAGCGAGCAGCGTCTCCTATGCATTTAAATGTGTACAAAAGATATGCTTCTTCATGTTTATATATGTATGTGTTGTATTTTTATATCTTGTGTTTATATTAAGATGTTAATTTTGTATATCCTTATGTGTTTGTAAATATGTTTTAAATGCAGGACCACAATGAAAACTAGCTTTATGCTAATTGTGTTATCCTGGATAAATAAAGGTTATTATTATTATTATTAAATGAACAAAACACTTTTTACATAACTATACTCGTGATCACGTGTTTTGGCCAGGGAATCTACCTGACAATTGTATTCACCGATAGTACAACGAAGGAATTAAACACAGACGCAAATCGCTTGGCATTATGACTTGGAGAAACCCAGACTTCCATCGTTAAATTAACAAATGAAGTGTTTGTCATTGTGAGCATGAAAATACATGTAATAGCATTATTAAAATGCTTTTTAGTTACGAAATGGATGGGAAAATGGTCTTTGTGCCTTTCGGATCGCCAAAAGATTTTCCATTTTCAAGCGCAAAGCTCCTGTAGTATTTGTAGTAACCCATAATGCAATAATTCTCTTTCAGCTGATTTGTCAGTGAAAGGCGTGTGTGTGTGTCTCATTTGCTAATATGACGCCCATAATATAGTCCCAGTTCCCATGCAAAAATATTTGTCCAAAAAGAAATTTGTCTTCATGACTCCTGACAATTGTATAATAGAGAACACTTATTTAAATTTAAATGAATTCAAGATAGATCGATTGAAGTACATTTCTACAGATATTATAGGATGGTGAAAACTAAAACGCAACATAACTTTTCTGTTTACCATGTCTTCTAATCACTTCTTAGCCACATTTCCTTGAATAATTAACCTTATCTCGCTGTATTCTCGCTAACTCTCGCCGGAGCCACTGTCAGAGCTATTCTGAACTCATCGGGGTTTAAAGTTTTCAGAGCACCGAAAAATAAAGGTTACGAACACATTACTAGGGGTGTTTTGTTTATGCTGTTTGGCGGGCTTGGCAAAGGAACAGTCGCTACCTATATTTCCGTCTTAAGGGTCCTCCACACCATGTGACCTGTGACATATATAGAGAAAAAAATACTTTTACTTCCGGTTTTATTGAGAAAATACATGAACGAATTGTCCTACCACCGTTTGTAAACAATGAACACATGGCATGATGATCACGGAGTGACCGATGAAAAGGATTGCGGTATTTTTTTTTAATAAAAGAACAACAGACGTCTTGGATTATGTTAATAAAGATAATAATTCCTAGACAACAGGTACCGGTGGTTATGAGAAAAGTATAGGTTATTTACACTTTGAACTTTCAGGCTAATCAACCGAGTCTGTTTTTGATAGTTGAACATGTTGAAATTTTGGCACACTAATTTGTATAATACATTATCTCATTGTGTGTTTATAAATATTGATAAAATAGTGTGCGTTTCTAGTTTTCCTCTTTTATTTATGTCCAGTTCAGTGGCCAGTATATTACTAAATATAGTATGGTGACGTAAGCGGAGACTTGCCAAAGTTTTTGAGTCCCGAGCAACAGGAAAGATAACTCCAAAAAGGAACTTTGATACCAGAGATTTTGAAAATGTTTTTTTCTACATCAGTGCATTTAATTTTAAATCAATTTTTTGATGAAATTTAATTCATAAATGTTTCTTCTCTACAAAAGGAGTCTTTGTTGATTGTTCTCGTGATGTATTTCAGAGAAAATGAGATTTATGTACTTTTTATAAATAAAATAAATTTCTGTAAAAAGTGTGTTGATCAATAAAATTAAGTTTTTATGGTTATTCTGTGAGCTTAAAAATATACGAAAGGGCAAGACAAATTTTTTTGTGCTAGGTATGAAAACGACTTGGGAAAAATTTCTTGAAACTTGTGAAATAATTATTTAAAAAAATCAGTATAAATTACATTTTAATCCCTGGACAGTTTTTAAAGGTTGATATGCTTGTTAAAAGTAATGCTCAATAATATGAGAACATAAGCTGTGGGTGTGTGCAGGACCCTTAAGTTTGAAGCGGCGAAGGAGGATCGAATTCAGGCCTCCCAATCACGACATGGACACTTTTTAAATCTAGGGGTTATAATAAACTGTTGCGAAAAAATTGCGTGGACGATGAGTCTATTTATCTACAGTAAGGACACTTGTTAATGAATCGTACGACGCAGTATGTCTACGCATAGCATAGCAGAAGTTATTTTAAAACTAACCTAAGGAATTACTCGTACATTTATCCATGCTATAAAGCAGTCTTACATTAAGTCTGAAACATCTGACATCTTCCAGGCTTTCCCCCGGATTTTGATTTTTTACATGCCAGGAAAACGCAAGAACTGGCACTATTACTATTTTCATAACCAATTTGATCTCATTAACTGGAACTCGTGGAGGGACCGGGATCATCTGTATTTCAGGGAAGATACACCAGGTGTAATAGTAATACCTCTTATAATTCTTTTGAGCTGTACCGGGATGATTCAGTTCAGCTTTTATCTTATCATACAATTCCTTGACAATTCAATATCCAATTCCTTCTAAATCTGAGGATCTTCCCTGACCTGAGCGGCTCACAAGTGTTGGAGAGTGGAGGTGTCACTTAAAATATTATTGTTGTAGCTACCCAACATCTGATCTCTGGTCGCTTAAATACTATTGGCTGCTTCTTCATCCCGACCAAATACATTTTTCGATAAACAAGTAAACAACTGCATTCTAATGAATAATATATTCTGGGAATCTTTCAGGTCAAAATTTGTAGCCCTCCACCGGCAAGTGGTGGCGGCTCTATATGAGTGAAAATTCTCGAGAGGGACGTTAAACAACATACAATCAATCATGATGAATATGAGATTAACAGATTAGGCTATATGGACATTCCAGGGTTCTGTGTTTTATGTTCTCTTTACAGTATTATACTGTTTATTAATTTTCTGAGAACTATCACCGTGGATATCTTCACCTTATGCTTATTTTAATTTTTAAAAGAATTTTACTTGTCTGAATGGAATCTGAAGACAACAAGTAAAACTGTTACGTTACTATTGTTATGAGTCGGAGAAGTTGTGATACTGAACTTTTGGAGCAACACTCGTCGATGTTAACGTATTATGAGTGCAAGACAAATTGAAAATGTAAATTTGAAAACTGGTACGAGTAGTTTAATAGCTTTAATTCTCGTAAAACATATATAATTAACACATTGAATTCATGCAGTATAATGCTTTTTTGATTTATTAAAGGAATAGAAAAATGTCTGCATTAAAATCCCATTGCATGAGCTTAACATGTTCATGAATCCTCTTAAATTAATTGTGGAATATATTTATATGATCAAATATAAGATCAGTAAGATTTTTCACAAAACGTAGACCATTGACTGTATGAAGTCTAAAAGCAAATTCTAGACAACTTTAGCTCTGATTAAGAAGTATTATTCTGATTTCTTTTTTTTCCCCTACATTTTAATAAAAAGGTGGAGCAAATTACTTCTTTCAGATGTTTTAGGGTATATAAAATGACAATCAAATTTAATTTTTATTTCATATTCCAGGACTTGATTCAGCAACTAAACAACTTCAAATCACAGCATCTATTTTCATGATACCCAAAATCCCATTCTCAGTGGTAGCTGGACTTGCTCTTCAACACCACAATAACTCTTTTCTATTAAATTGTGGCATATGTTCCTTGTTTGTGTTTTTACTCTATCCAATAACAGGTATTCATTTGCTTTTGTAATCTTATATATAAAATGAGGCTGCATTTCATTTCCGGAATCTTTTGTAAGTACAAACTTTTCATTTTGGACATCCTTAGTATTCATGCATTTCCGACATTTTTCAGATAGTACCTTTAGGAACACGTGTGAAGACTTCACCTATGAAAATTTTATTTGAAGGAATAAATCATCAATAAATACTTAAAATCCAATTTCTGAGATTTGTAAATCTATCGATAAAGCGACTGTTAATAATATTTTTCTTGGGCCACATATATACATGTTAGAATTGTGACAACTAAGGAACGTGACCAGTCTATTGAACTCTTTTACCTAGACTTTAGTGCTATGTGTAATAGATGGTTTTTATATTTTTTATCAATATTTTGGAATAAATACTTTAAAAAACTCATTTTCACTTACTTGGAAAACATTACATTGCCGCGCAGGTAAAATCCGAAAATGAAAAAGAAATTTTGTCGGAAATGGAAAGAAAAAATGTCGAAAATGCTAAGCAGATTTCCAGAAATGAAATGCAGCTTATAATGAAAAGTAATTTAATCAGTTTCATAGCATTCAATAAAAATCTGATCGTAACTGAGGCTTTCGATTGATATAATTTTATAATGAAAAGCAGCTCATTGAAATATCTTCAAAACAAAATTTAAGGAGATTAATTAAAAGCTTTTCCCCCCAAAATCATTCAAACAACAAAACAATAATTATATGATTACATATTAAGTAAAATGGAATGTCAAGTCGCTATGATATGATTGAAAATCGTATATAGGTTTATTAGGGTAGAGGCATAATGAAAAAAAAAATTGAAAATCATAAAAAAGTTCAAGACCAAGGAAATAGAATTCAACGGCTTTAAAAAAAACTATGTAGTTATAATGTGATTTAATAAATTGAGGACTTTGGTATTGATTTCCTCTTTGTATAAGTTTACACTTTATTTTCTATACACGTGCAATTACACTACAAATAAAAATATATATAAATTATAAACTGCAATTTTTGTATTAGGTATTCTAACCTTTGCTGGATGTATGCTAATTCTGCGAGATTACCCTGACCTAGAGCGGGGATGGTCCTTTTACCTATGTTTGGCCTGGTTCTTTGAAACTACACCACTACCTGAGATGCTTCCACATGAGTTTTTATTTTAAAAAGGACTTTGGTATATGTAAAACTTGGGTCATCTGTTATAATTTTGATTGAGGTAAACATATTATGCATCATAATTTTGAAAATGATTTTAAAACCTTTTGTATTTGAACCTGTCCGATTCTATTGGTAACAAAATTCATTCTATTCTACATTTTTTCAGAGTTATTAAGCTTCAATATACCAAAAACTTCACAGTTTGAAATATTTTCTAAGTTGTTTAGACAGTTGCTCAATGACTTAACAAATAAGTAAAAATATCATTGTAAAATAATTAAAACCTACATTCTAACACACCGACAAATTAGCCAGGTGTTGACTTAAACCTCGCTATAAGCAGACAAAAGAAACTTCCAAATGTATCATTTCAGTAAATATATCTCAAATTTTTACTACCAAGCAAACAGTTAAAAACAATTTAAACATGAAAAAAATTCAGTTTTCTTCTGAAGAGTTTCTAGACGATAAAATATGACATTTCCTTTTATACTTTAAGAATGAAGATTATATTTCTACTTTTACAGATTATAGCTCCTCTGATTGTATTAATCGTGATGAAGATAAGATCCGCAGAACATAAATCTGACGAAAAACCTGAAGAGTCTGTCGAGGCAAAGAACAGTAATGAAGATAATAAAGATGCCGAGACACAAACACAATCCAACATATACGGCAACAGCATTATGGCTCAAGTGGCAATCATAGCTAAAGTCGAGCATGCTAACAATGCCATAGAAATGAAATAGTGAGTCAATGATAACTGTAATCAATGTAGAATTTTAATACTAATCTTTAGTTACGAAGTTTCAGTAATTCCTTTTACCATCAAAATGACTTTGTGTTAATTGGTGTTACAATGAGTTTTGCAAGCATGTGTACTTAAAGTATCAGCCTGGATGAAATGTGAAAAAAGAGAACAAAATGAGGGAGAAGTACTTTGTAAGAATATATGATATCGAGGTAGAGGCAATGCAAATCTAGCACTAGCCCTCAAGCTCCTGGGTCATACATGCATAGGTACCATTTTACATCAAAGTTTGAGTATATTTTTCTAATTCATTCCAATCACTGTAAGGTTGTTTTACTTTCTTGATACACTTGATTGATAAATATTAAGAGTTTGCAAAGAAAATCTTGATATATCAACAATTTTGTGTCTGCTCAGAGTCTTAAATGCTGTAATGTTGAAACATTCTTTGGTTAACCTGAGAAATATTTTCAAAAAGAAATTGAAATGTAGACAATTTCAATTTCAGAAAAAAACAAATTAAGACACTTCTGATGGTTTTTTACGTTTCAGATTGGTTAATTACACATTAATTTCTTTAGGTGATTCCACCCTCACAATTTTATAGGTTCAAAGTACACAAACTGCATTTATTGTCATTTAATATACATTAAACTTTCCAATAATGGCAAAAAATGTATACCATATTATTTAAGATGCTAAACACAGATAAACAGAAGTGTATATCAACATAAAAAATCGCATTTTTTTGTAAACACTCTTATGAAAAATATGTAAAAACTGAATAAAATGCATAATTCCGACGCTGAGTGTTCCTAAATACTTCCTATGTAATAGATACTTTTGAATTGTGAATATCAAGGAAAATATTTTACAATAAAGCAAATGCCTGAATGAAGAGACCTTGGAAGGAGTTATTGCCCCTATCAACATTTTTAAAGATTGATTAATTGATTAAATAAAGAAATTATGCATTTTCTAAATTATTTAGCAATGATTATCATTACACCTACTGTATTCTTCCAAGAGATATTGTTCTATTGGGTATGAATTTAAAATAATTACAGTTTTTTGCAAAAACCTATGACATCATAGGAAGGTGGCATTACTTTAAGATCAAAAGCTTAGAAGAAAATTATCTGAATATTTTATGTCCATTGATTGTCATAAATTTTATTCCAAATATACACATATGTGTGTTGTGTTCTGATGTTTACATAGATATTATCAGAAACCATAATTCCTTATCCTAAAATCTTAATTTTGTTATACGGAAGATTGACTTTCGTTTTCCTGTTCTTTATACATATTGTGATTTTAGTCAGATTACTGATTGTGTTTATTCGTTAATGTAACTGTTTTAAACAAAAGAATCCTTGAACTTTTTGCAAGAATTGAGCAGCTTTGAATGTTTTTCTTAGGGCGCCATTATACACAATTTAGCCATTGCTTAAAAAGCGTTGTGATAAAACAATCTGTTAGTTTTAGTTTCCTTGAATAACGATTGTTTGAAAAGTTTAAAAACATATTGATTTAAGATTTCTAGGGGCAAACATATCCCTTGAATTACATTTTATTTTATTTAATGTCAATTTCTCATGTTAATTGCCCAATAAAAGAAACCTAGTCTAGAGTATACAAGACATAATGAAATGTGGATTCATATAATCAGCATACCATAAAAAGATATATTAAATAATCGAGCAAAGTTTATTAGGATAATTTACAAAATGGAAAACTGATGAGAATATGTATAATTGCAATCAAATGTATTAAATGGCGCAAAAATTAATGCACAAATTTGCTTCTTAAAAGATATCAAAAAGAGTTATGTAACATGCATCATAATTATGAAGGATAGTTAAGGATAAAATAGGTTTTATTTTCCTTTTGTGTTTGTACACGTTATGTCGTACAAGTTTGAAATTAGACATAGTAGATCTTTTAGAGTTATGAATTTATGTTTCTAAGCTCACATGCTTGCTTAAATGAATACATTTTTATGAACAAATTGTTGTAATATATCAATAATACGACTATTTAATCTTAGATAAACTTAAAAAACTCTTTTTTTCAGCCGGACTGCAGGTTAAGATGACTTTCATTATTTTCGGTTATTTACCTACCTGTGCATTACCGTATTTGTCGTTTGTATTTTCAGTTATTTACCCACCTGTGCATTACCGTATTTGTCGAAATAAAGTCGTGGTGAATAAACGTTGGTTTACAGTATTTTGATTGATTGATTGATTGTATATTGTTTAAGGTCCCTCTACAGTATTTTGAAGCAAATACGCATAACAACTCGTCGTGCCGTTTCCCATTTTGACAATCCAATTGTTCAATTTAACAGTGTAAAACAACAACGTTTATGATCACAATACCAATGCCGTCATTTACTTTTGCCCGTGGGGATCCGGGATAGAATAGGTCCCCAGTACCCCCTTGCTTGTCGTAAAAGGCGACTAAATGGGGCGGTCATTCTGATGAGACCGTATAAACCGAGGCCGCATGTCACAGCAGGTGTGGCACAAAAAAGATCCCTCCTTGCTCAAAGGCCGTAAGTGCCAAGCATAGGCCTAAATCTAAATTTCAGCCCTTCACCGGCAATGGTGACGTCTCCATATCAGTGAAATATTCTGGAGAGGGACATTAAACAGTATACAATCAATCAATCATTTAATTTTCAATTAAAGACTAGAAAAAGATGAGTATTGTGTCTTTTTAAAAAATTGGAATATTAGATGTTTTTTAATATCTTTTTAATGTGTTTGTCTTTTTTTATTCTAAAATATACACTTTAAAATGTGATGTTCCGTTGTGACGCGGCGACACCCCTATGCTGTATGTTTTAAAAATCTATAGAATAAATTCAAATAAGAATTATTTAATCAAAATTTCAATATAAATTAGTTTTCTAGTTGTGCACCTTTTGGTGTATTGTATTTGTTAATATGACGCCAAATATAAAAGATATGGACACTGTGACATTCCTTTTGAATCAACCCTCGTATATGGTTCTGATGAGATATTTGAGTACAGCTTTAGATATTGGTCAGACTGTTAGGGGTCTTGAGATAGTGGCGGGTATTGTGATTACCCTAACAACAATAAATACTCTATTATAATTTCGCTACTCTCATAATGTCGATGAAGACGACTTTTCCTGGTGTGTATGTTGCACCGGATGTGTTTCAATCTTCTATCCATTTTCCTTTTAGACAAGTCTATATTCCTATTAAGATAATCAACAAGTATTCTCAACAACTCAAGTATAGTAGTATTTCATTACAAAAAACCGGTTTCTTGACCTCATATTTACATTGCTTTTTTGTGTGACTTGTCTAAACAATACTCTTTCTCGATCTAGTTTTCGGGTATTCTTAGTTTCACTGGTGCATGATTTTGGTGTCATGTGACTTTGGGGAGTTCTCTTGGGTATTCTACGTTTGCTTGGCAGCGTCCATTTATAATATCATACAGGTTGGAAAACATAATAATCTAGTGTTTTTTTTTCATCATTTATGAAATGTGTTTATTTTTTTACAATGCAAACATATTTCCATATTTGGTAAATCAAGCAAACTTTTCATTTAAGATGTTTTGCGTCTGCTATTCCATTTACCAAGCAAGACACCTGAAAGGGGAAAACCCCGACGAAAGTCCAACAGGAGTCTTAATGATGGAATTGCTTCAGATCACACAGGTTACACACATATTTCATATTACAAAGATTATGATGGAGTAGCTTCAGATGACTTGATTTAAACATATATTCCATATTATAAAGATAGTGATGGAAAAATTCTAGACTGCAGAGGTTACACACATTCCATGTTACATAGGTAATGATGTGACAATTTGGACTTCACAAGTTATACACACATATTTCATAGATAATTATTGAACAAAACAAATATAAAAAAAGTTACACAAATGTTTTCATATTACAAGGACAATGATGGAGCAGTACGCGATTATACAAGTGACACATATATTCTGTATTACATAGTGATAAACAGATCAAGATCAAGCTAGTTTATCGTGTTTCCAAATATATGGTAATAAAGCAAGTTAGAAAAAACTCATATGTTACTCACACATTCAGTATTACAAACTCTAGCATGATTATCCTAGTTCTGCATCTACTTTTATAATAAGTATTATCACATTGAATATATTGAGTAGTCACAATTGTTTCTGGGTGACTATATACAAGGGGATTGATATAAGTGGACGCTGTGAGTCTCTCTCAGCAACGAATTTATATCCCGACGAACAATAATTTTTTTCAATGGAGCATTTTATCAAATATCTGTATTGAGTACCCAATGAAGTAACCTCATTTTGACATTTTCTACTTTAAAAAAGTATTCACTGCATACATTGTCATCCACCGACATTTATTGTCAATGACTGATAAATTATATGTACAGACTTTAACTCGCATTAATATGTGCCAATTCTCAGTGCACATATTTTCACTCGACAGTTGGGCTTCTTTGATTTTTTCCCTGTTTTTGTGAGTGAAACTCGTACGTTAATCATTTACATTTGTCAAATAAGCATATTTTATGTAGGTGTGATATAGTCCTAGAGTTTTTGTTTGTCTGATTTTATTGAAAAGAGTTAGATTATAAGGATAATGAAGTCGAAATTATACCTTGAAAAATATTGTTTATGGTGTCAATATGTACTGAGAGATAGCAATATGTATATAGAGTCGCCTGTAACAAAACGCACAGGGTAGCAAAATTTAAAATTGTATTCATGTTATAAAGTTATTAAAGTATTCAAGAATGTTCATTAATCATCTAATCATTTTGCAAAACAAATGATCAAAAACAAACTTTCATACTTTCTCACAGTGTCATTCTTTACTCGACAGAGATGCAGTTAAGGATTCATACACGATACAATAAACTATAAATGATAGAATACACCCTCTTTAAGATGAAATGCCCAGTGATACGATAGGGCAAACATTCAATATGACAGTATACACCCACGATACGATAGGGTACAAACTTTGATACAATGGAAATATAAATACATAATCAGAAATTATTCACACACATACGATACAATAGGTACATACACTATACAGTGGGATACATGTTCATACGTAGTGTACATGTCTGTAGACATCAAAAAGATGCCCGAGTTCTTGATTGACAATATCTATGTGGATTTTGGTGACAAGGTCTTCCAACAATCAATTGGAATGCCCATATGTACCAATTACGATATTAACGGACCTATTTTTGTATTCATTTAAAGCAGAATTTGTGCAAAATGTTATGTGTGAAAAGAAAACACTGGCTGTGGCCTTCAACTCAGCATGTAAATATATCGACGACGTATTGTCAATTAACAATGGTAATTTCCATTCCTATGTCGATATGATATATCCTGGGGAGCTCGAGATACTACGGAGTTTTTTTCTATCGTCAAATTCCCTTACTTATGCAGCAATATACCTACATCGCTTGAATACGGTGTTTATATATCCTTTATAGACCTTACTTATTATTTTCATTAATATATCTTCATTAAAAGGAAATAAATATTGTCGGTTGCATGTGCAAATTTATATTCCATGTAAACTAGAAATAACTAATTGCATATAGTTACAATAAAAGATTTTATATTTCTCTGAGTCAATTATATTCAACATTTGGTTGATAAAGCGTAAAATCATTCATTTCTTGTATAAAGATGAATTACAAATATTTTGAATGTACTCACTGCATGTTCAAAGGACATGGTCTTAATAATATCTACGATAATACATGAACATTTGGCTACATAAAGGAAAATTTTCAGACTTAATACCAATATAATCATAAAAATAATTAAGAAAAAGAAAACATGATAACGGAACTTTTCCCCTGGTAATTGATTAATTTACGATTACTTGTAATTATAAGAACGGGAAAAGGTCAGACGAAAATAGTTCAAAAATGCTGGTTCACCAAACAAGGTGTCTTCACAAAAAACCCAGACGATAAATATGAATGCCAAAACTTAGACAAAAGTTGTCAGCAATAGATAAACAGGGACTGGTATACAGACGTAATAATATTCGATTACGGTGGCATAACATGAAAAATTGTAAGTACTTAGGAGGAAATTTAACATTCCTTCTTTATTTAGTAGGTTCTCTTCACTGTTTTCAAAAAGGTCAAAGTAAATATATTTACTTATTAAGTAATATTGTTCAGATATATACCAATTTCTCTTCTATGATAACGAGTTGAATTTTGTACAGCAGATATTAAAAGAAAGAATAAGATATATAATTATGATATAAATTATCTGTTATGTAATCCTATACAAATCTGTTCAAATAAAACTAGACTATGATATTTTTTTAATACCTGTCTTTCCACGAAAGACAGATAAGACAGATAAGTTATCACTGTTCAAACATAGATCATAAAAAGATTTGTGAATCGATAACCTAAAAAAACTCCCTGTCTTTTTCAAAGCAGAACTTAGAATGAGCGACAGAGGACTAGCATCGACTCTAGTCGTTTTCTTTTTCATCCCTACCTGTGCCTTGCAGCTCTCTGGGATTTTCTCGTCAAGATGGGTGAAAATACCAGCAACTAATGCAACAAGAGAATGTTATGTGGGAGTCATCTTTAATAATAATTGCTGGTCATGGGATTATCCTCGAGGTAATTTCTCCATCAGATTATTCTGAAATGAAAAATCTGATTTTGACTTGGAAAGTGCTGTTATAATCATGCATTGAGCATGGTCTTACGAAAAATCTCAGTTCATATGTATACAATTCGAAAATTCGCAACTTCGGGTAAGGTTTTGTTCAAATAGGTGGAATAATTATTCCACTGTCAGGACAGTGGAATTCTAACTGCACCTTCTAGGAAAAATATATGTTTTCAGAAGAAGAAAGTCTTTGTATTACATAAACAACAACAATTTGAATATTTAAAGAATTTCAAAGAAATAATACTTTAATGAAAAGAACAAATCTCCATGCAAATCTTAATTTGATTGATTTCTGTTAATTAAGCAATGAATCATTATTTTTTGAAAGATATATTCTAATAACTGCAACAGTGTGTGCAAAAAATTAAGAAACGTTTGTTTTTACACAACGTTGCAGTTATGAGACTATATATCTTTAAAAAAATAATGATTCATTGTTTTTATCTACATCTTTTAACTTTCTTCCGTAACTGCACATCTGATTTCTATTTCAAAACCTACGTATTATCCTACATGTATGTGTAAGATACAATTAATGGATCAGTTAACGTAACAGCTTTTATTCAATTTGAGCGTGATTTTGTTTTATTTTTCGCTTGTGATTTTGCACTTCCTCTGCGTTCAACGATTATGAAGTCAAACTAAAACGCATGCTTTAACCTCTTGGCACCCAGTCTGTGTTATGATGTTTTGAATGCAATGGATTTCCATTTAATTTATATGCTAAAACATATGCAATGTAAATATTTATTTGTAGCATGAAAAACTTACTCTTTTCAAATATGGTTATTGTTCATGTTTATCCCTTTATCCCGTGAATATCATGAAATGGCTACTTTGTTGTTGTTTCATTGTTGTAACATCACAATGGTTTTTGCACGTAAAACATGAGGTAAATATAAATATAAATCTGTGTCAAACATTGATAGTTTTTTTTATAAAACATGTTTTATCTGGATTCATCTAGAACTGAATTTTATCCAATACTTCCAGGATAAAAACACACAAATCGTTTGATGACAATCATATTTTATCAAGGGAGTTTTAATAGTATGTCTTACAGCGTTGCCGCCTTTGCGAAGTAAAGCTGCATCCAAGAGAATAGAAGATTAGTGAGCAGTCTTTTATAAATAAGATATTTAAATCAAATATCCAGATACCTAAATAGAATATTCAGATACCATATCTTCTAGTAGTTACGTTCTCTATTAAAATGAGTAGGAAAATCATGTACTCTTTTTGAGATAAAAATTGAGGAGATTGTCCAGGACTGTCTCTACTGCATCTCTGTTTCCATGATACTTAGGTAGACGTTGATTCCCTGTAATTTTCATGATCTCTCAGTCGCCTCCCAAAGATTTCTTTCTATATTTATTTATATTCATAGCATTTCATATCTTAAAGACATGTAAGAGATCATTAAAATATTAAACATTAGTTATGTAATCTTTCTGCCGTAGTTTATTTTTCATTGAGTGTTGCTTGCCTATGATATCATTAACAAACTGTGCTGGGTAAATTGACAAACGTGGAAAACCCTGAGAGATTACTTAAATACGTGTATCATATTACAATGAATGTGCAAGTGATTAAAATTATTGAGAGAACATGTCAATTAGGCAAAGCTATGCTCAGAATAATTTTAAAAGATCAACTCATCTGTGTACCTAGTTTTTAACCACTGATGATTTACTTAAAAGTAATGGAGTAGAAATGATAAAAAATGATATTTTTATTAGACCCTTAACAACCATTGGTACATATGAACTGATAATAGACATTGTAGATGCTGGAGTGGTAAACAAAAAAATATAAACAAACAAACAAACAAAAAAAAAAAAAAAAAAAAAAACACAAAGCAATTTTTATGCTTTTTTTTCTTTTTGGTATTTTTCTTAAAATATTGGAGAAAAAATGCCGCGTTTTAAGTCGATTAAGTGCGTAGTAGAAAAAACGGAATACTAACTTTTCTTCCTCGCCTTAATATACAATTTCTGATATTTTTTATTTAAACGGAAATTTATTGTAGATTTTTCATTTTTATTACATCAGAATATATACATGTATGATTAAAGAGTGTTTCAATGTGTATGTTTACGTTTAACTATTCAAGTTGATAAAAGGAAGATATCAGTATTAACGAATTAAAATAATCTATAAAGTATTTGGGCCATTTTCTTTTATTCATTTCTCCGACCCTTGCTTCACAGACTGATAATCAAATCGTAAAAGATTTATCGAATAAGGATAAAATATGTAAGTTTTAAGTTCATAAATCAACTTTTGTCGTTTCATGCCGATAGTTTCAGCAGCTAAGTTTAAGAACAATATCATTTAAGGAATGAAGCTTGTTTCAACTTCGCTTCGCGGTTTATAAAGCGTAAACTGACTCAAGTTATGTAATATCGTATAACATAAGTTGAAATAAGTTTCAGTTTCATTCCTTATAATTTCATTGTAGACAATGAGACAATTTTCCCATTTTTTTCCTTCGGAAAAAGGCTTCAAATATTGCCTATTTTAAAAGTTAAGCGGAGTAATACGTTTTTGACGTAACTCATTGTGACGTAGGCAAGTTATGGTATACAAAATGGATAAAACCGCTTAACCAATCCAATGACGTGTTACAACTAAAATTTAAATTATTTATAAATGTTTGAGCATAAAAATGGGACATTATTTCCAAACTAAATATATATTGTTTTATAATTTGGAATGACAGCGATTTCAGCTTGTTAATATTATGAATGATCTAAATCCTGACATCAACTTCACAATGGAAGAAAGTTTTCAAAGTATTCCATTTTTGGACGTCTTAATTAAAAAGGATTCCTGTCTTTACATATACTACAAACCGACGGACACACATCAATACCTTCATTTCAGTTCCTGTCATCCTAGCCATACAAAACGCTCGATCCCGTACAATTTAGCTAGAAAGTCTGCACAATAGTTAGCGACGAGAAAACAAGAGATAAACGTCTAAATGAATTGAAAAAGTATTTACTTGAACAATGTTATCCTTCCGGAATCAAGCGGGATAAAAAAGGCCACAGAAATCGACAGAGAAACACTTTAATTCCTCAAATAGTGACAATCCGGATACCTCAATATTACCGCTTGTAACTACCTACAATCCGAGGAACAGGAATATTACCCCTACAGTGCGTAACCTCAACAACCTTCTACAGATGAAAATGTCCAAAGTGCTAAAAAATATAAATTCATCAACAGTAAAAGACAACCTAAAAATCTCAGGAGAATATTGTGCAAATCTGTATTTCGACAACAGAATTCATACACGGTCAATACATGCTCCGATTCACGTTGTGGAACTTGCCGATATATTAAAGAGGGAAGTACTTTTACACTCGGAAATAAAAAATTTACCGTAAATGCAGACATGACCTGTGCATCAAAAAACCTTATTTATTGTATAAAATGCGCTGGATGCGGAGAATTATACATTTATATTCGCACTCGCATACGTATACACAGACAGCATATCAACCAACCCCAGTACAGAAAAATAAAACTCAGTGAACATCTTGATATTTGTGGACAGGGACAATTCACAGTTTATCCCTTTTATAAACTCAAAACAGAGAGCGTTTTAGAAAGACGGGAAAAAGAAAAACATTTTATAAATATTTTTAAACCATCCCTAAATAGTTTAATATAGACTGTCTAATGACTTAATTATGTATTACGCTATGAATTATGTTATTTTACTTTGGCTCTATTATTGTTTCCTCTAATAGCATTGTGACGTCATATATATATATATATATATATATATATATTTATATATATATATATATATATATATATATATATATATATATATATATATATATATATATATTTTGGATATATATATATATATATATATATATATATATATATATATATATATATATATATATATATATAATTATATGATAATGCCCAATTCATCATCTAACCTTTTAATTACATTAAGTTTAGTTTTTAAAACCCAATTGTTTCTAACGGATTCTTTTTTGTGATTGATGTATTTATTTGAGCTTAGCCTTCATTAGGTACTTTAGTCCAATTAATTAAAGGGACCGATACATGTATTTGTGTCTCTTAAAAAAGCATATTCACTTTTTATTGTGTACCTTCCTTTCTGATATCAATGACATAACGAAAATTGTTTTCCTGTCTATATTGAGGGCAATTTCTTTAATCTGCAGATGTAGTGTACCATGTACATCGCCATTCACTTAATCATTTGAAAATTCACTATTTTGAAGTCTCAAAGAAAGAAATTCTAAATAAACTGATTTGCTAATTGATTTTACAGTGATAGATCTTGGAGGTACTGTTCGCGGCCTTGAGATTATTACGGCAATTATCATGGCCTTTACAACATTGAACGCTTTGTGTTCTCTTCGATACTCAGATGATGAGGACGAGCAGAGCTCCTCCTGTTGTAGATTATGCACTGGATGTGTTTCAATCTTTTATCCATTTTCCGGTGAGTAATGAAACTAATAGAACGCAGATATCAACACTTTCTTTTAAAGTCAACACTTTACAGAGTCTATTTTCGACACAAAGCAAACACATTGTATCACTTGATAGATAACTTTTTTTTACATCCTTGTTTACATTTTTAATTCATTGAAATCATTTTTACAGAGATTTTATACTGTTTATCATATCATTTGCAAAATATCATTAAGCTTTCAAAAATCACTTTTTAGGTATTCTTGGCTTTGCTGGGTGTATGATTCTAGTTTCAGAAGGTTTAGCGCCGTTTTACTGGGCCTTCTACATTTTGTTTAGCGGCCTCCATTTATAACATTCTACAGGTAAGGCGATAAGACTTTTTTTGAAACAAACATATATTTTACCATCAACGAAGTTATTCAATGGAACCTCTGGTTTCAGATGTTTTTCTGCTGCTGGTTTATCTACCAAGCCCGACATATGGAAGACGAGGGGAGCGGCGAAGAAGAACCTACTGGAGTTATTGTGATGCAGCAACTCCAGATTACACAGGTTACTCACAACATATTCCACATTACATAGACAACGGACATTTATACATGATCTTCATAATCAAGTGTATTGAAGCATTTTATGATGAATCTGATGTTTCTGGAGTAAACAATTTTGTGAAAGATGTAAATCTCTGATTGTTATTCGATTAAGTAAATTTGACTGAATACATATACCAGTATATATATTGTGCATCTTATATTATTGCTATTTGATTTTGCATGCTTCAGTGATGTTTGTTTGAATATCTATCCTATTCTACAAATAAAGATATATATCCAAGATCTGTGATGTCATAGATTCATATCAAAAGTCAGTCTGACTGAATGGGCTACAAATTGACAAATTAATTTTTACTAAATCAATACCTGTGCAACACTTGCCTTCGCGGAGTAATGTTACCAACAACTAATGAAATTATGCATAACATATAAAATAGTCTGTCTTACCATGTTGGAGCATTTGCTTCATTTAATACCTTAAATAGTATAGAATGTAGTCGACGGAAGCTTGTTAAGAATACAATAGATAAAAGAAATTTTAAGATGAGACGTGTTGGGTTCGCACAAATTAAAGTCACATTATAAAAATTACCATTTTCGAACTGCAGTACGATTACATAACCCTACGAAGAAATACATTTATAATGTCAAGTATAAAATAATGTCTTTTAAATTATTATCTTAAGTTTCCAAAGCGTTTTAAAGGGGAATTTATAAATAAATGGTAGGATGTTTCGACTATACGATTCTGCCATAGGTTTTTACAAATTGTATAAAACAAGCTTTTCTTGATACCATGTAGTTGAAAATTTTAATTATCTTCTTAAAGGTGAGTATTTTTAACAATGTTTTTGCTCATTTACCATTCTCCTCTTGGTTTTGACGAAATGTAGCGCCGAAAAGGGATAATATTGCAGAAGGAAACCACACTAAAGGGTAGGATAATGAAGTATTGTTTATTCTTTTGAATAGTTAATTCCTTCTATGAAAAGGAAAATTTCTCTGCATTTACAGTTTGATACGTTAAAATTTTTCAGAGGGATGAATCTCTCGTGATTCTAGATTTTAGAAGTTGACTCTGAAAACTCCAAACTTATTTACATACAAAGCAGTCAAACAGATGAAAAACACTATTATTGGCCCGAGCTGAAAAGTCAGAATGTACAGAAAATACTAATTACTGTAACTGTACCGTGTCCATGTCTACATTAATTCCAAGAGCTATTGCTTTCAAAAGAACGGATAAAAAGACAGCTGCAATTGGCAAGAAACCACAAAAATTCAAATGAGATAAAAATGGTATTTTTCAGCCATGAATATATCAAAGTTCTACCAATTGATATGTGTGAATTATGTTTTAGTAAATGAAATAAAACTCAAATAATGTAAACAAATACTTTTCAAATGTATTTTTGTCTCGATACACAATATTACATCATAATAATTGACCTTAATTTGTGCGAAAAAGCATGTAAGTTTAAAAAAGTGTGTTGAGCTGTAAAATATTATAAAAGTAAAAAAATCATATATAATATTATATTATAATTATCCGTTTTGTTTTAACAAACTGTGAACATATCGTACAGCAATCGTCAAGCTCAAAACTTAATTGGAAAATATATATTAAATAAAGAAGTGTTTTGGTTATTTTGTATTCTTTGGGTCTTTTAGCAGATTTAAGTATTTTTTTTTGAGTTGAGGAAGCATGACATTTAATTTGAATGCCATGTCGACAGATCATTCTGGTAGGCTTTAATTTCATACTGACTTATCTACGGGTTGTTTTTGTTTATCCGATCCTGAAAAAGAGCTACGGTGAGATTGGCTGTTAAACAGAGGTACCCATTCTTCCATGGATCCATATCCAGCCATGGATTTTAGCTGTTTCTGTATGCTCTAATCATTATGCTAATTAAGGAGATGGTCCTATCAATTTTCAGAATTTGTGCCCAATCAACTTTTAATTTAAGCTAAATAAAATATGTTAAAATTATAATTCTTATGTTCTCATTGATAAGTATCTGATACAATTTATAAAGATAACTTCTAATAATCTCTTAGATTTTCCACCAGTACTAATTGTGTTTTTAAAAAACTGTTTTATTTTTATAATGAAATTTAGGAAGGACAATTAATTCTCATATTTACGTTTCACTTTAATACAAGTTTCATTGGTTGAAGTCGACAGGGTTGCTAATTCCCCCTGGACACCGAATCCCTCATCTGATCTTCACTCCTATTTTCTAGTGTTAAAAAGATTTTCAACTCATAAACTGTTCGATATCTTCGCATATTCCACCCATACTTCTTCAAGAGTCGGATTACAGAGGTAATAGGGAAGCATTCAGAATATCTAACAGGACTAAATCAGTGATGCATGAACACATCATAGTAGGCAAGATGACGTCAATTTTAGAACGCAAGGGTTTGTAATATTGGTATTTAGAGATGTAATTTAACTCCAGAAAATAAATAAAACATAAAAACATAAGCAAAAATAAAATCTTTTTCTATTTTGTTATGCTGTCTCTGTTAGTTGGATCTAAATCTACGACAGATGAAGTCATAAATGTACATCGAGCAACTTGGGAACTGATCATGTAAATATTATGTGAAAGTCATACAGAGTTTAAGTTTATTAAATACATGTAGGAACGGTAATTTATTTTCATCGATTATATTTTCTTTCGAAGACAGTCAGCTATTTACCTATCCCGGTTGGCCTTTCCTCTGTCATTCGTGACAAAAAGTGACAAAAAAAATCAACAGAACAACAATAAGCTGGATATTTCAAAACATAAGATTTGTACAGATCGAAAGCTTGACTTCCAAAATACTTATAGAGTGCTGCTAGAATCCCGAGGAAAACATGGCTTCACAAAAATTATCAGGTTATATGTTAAAAATTTGGGAAAGGTTTCGTGCAAATGTGTGAAATAATTATTTCATTACCAGACAGCGGGATTCTAGCAGCCCTTTAGGCTCAATAATTGTTTTACAACTACCTTATTTATTTAAGTTTTTTTAACCATTTTTAAAATAAGGTACACTGCTATTAATAGTAGTCACATGAGGGCGTGGAGGTGGTGCACGTCTATGCCTTAGACACTCTTTATATTTATGCTGTTTACATCAGTTAACCTTTAATCACCGTCCATGGGACGGAAACCATAAAATCAACAATATTTCTCCTTAACACATACAAAGAAAAATGAATTAGGCAACATGGACAAACATTGGTTCAACGTAAAAGAATAAGTTAAAAAGTTTACATATATGAAGATAGGAATAAGTCCATGAGTGATTAAAATGTCCATTTTTACCATTTTTAAAATACGGTATGTGAAGTACATGTGTATTGGTCAACAGTGATAGAATACTTGCACAATACAAAATCAATAATCAAGGCAAAAAAAATGGTGCATATATCTATTAATGCAATGCATCTTTAACTTATTTGTTTTCTATTGCATTATAATCTTAGAAAAATACGCCCTCTGAATCTATTTGATTATTTAAATAGATTTTCCTTCCTTCTTATTGTTTAAATCGTTTATCAATTCAAATCGACCTAGTTTTAAAGGTATTGGGCGAAGAGCGATTCTGTTTACAAACTGCATAATAGGATACGGTGACACAAAATAAAGTCATATATCAATTACTTTATATTTTAAACCAAAAGTAGGAAAATCCAATACTCATTTTTTTTTCGAGATCCTTGTTTAATTCAAACATACAACATGGGTTCTGAATCTGTTGCATTAATCTGTTGTCTTAGTTGTCTGTTGCTGCCGGGCCTCGTTTTACAGACAACGGGGTTTTTCTCGCCATTTTGGATCAAACAAAATTCAACAACAGATTGTTTCAGAGGAATCTTTTTAACAGTGAATTGCGAGGACACCATTAAAGGTAAATTTGAAATACTGACTGTATATTTCAAAAACTTATGGATCACATAAAGACAGATTATAAAGATTCTTTCTCACCCCTCCCCTCTATTCACTCTTTTTAATATCTGATTTGCTTTAAATCTAAATTGATATATTCAATTCCTTAACCTTCTTACATAACAGGATTGTAGAATCCGATTAAAATAAAATATAGATCAATAAAAATTTTCACTCTCCCCCTCCCTCCCCCTCTATCTCTCTTTCTCCCTCTGTCTTTCTCGTATATGTAAAAATACACAATTATGTCACAATGTAGAATTATGAATATTCATAAAATGAGGTGTAAAAATGCATGTAATTTTGCATTAAAATAGAATCAGGAATATTCATGCAAGAATCTTAATTTACTTACTATACGAAAATAAGATGTTTACCTCTACAAAATTATTAACGAAGAGTTGATAACAATCAACAAATTCATTAAAGGAATCTCTAGGTTTTTCTGGTGCGAGATTCATATTGGATTCATATCAGTTTCATAAAATTATTGTGTAAAACAAATTCATTAAAAGAAAATGTTTCTGGCGCAAGATTCATTTTTGTTTCATGAAATTCAATTTGAATAATTTGAAAAAATGAGAAAAAAGATACCTACATTCAATTTAATATCAAATTTAAAAGCTGTTAATGTAGACATCAAGAAAACTATTGTGAGAGACTCTGGGAAATATTGATAGATTTTTCATTCTAAATTGAAAAAGCTCTGAAATATATATCTGACATTTTTAAATTTTGTAATGAAAATTACAGATAAAAATGTTTACTTTACATAAAAATTAATTCCCGATAACCTTAGTTTTCCAAGCTGTATTTGTTGAACATTTAAAGAACTCATTTTTCAAGTTTGATAAATGTATAGGCACCTTTTCTTTACTAGACCTTAACATGAAGTGCAAAGTAAGTTATGCCAAGTAATGATCCCCCAAATTAGCAATATCTTAATACAACTCCTGGATCGGAATAAATCTATATAATATTAAAGTTGATAAAGTTTGTCATAATTTGAAAATGTTCAACTAAGAAAAACATTTTTTGGACTTTTAGTGGGATATTGCATGAAGTCGATTATGTACCAATGAATCTTTATATCATTGTATTTTATTTCTTAGAATTATATTTTTTCATTCATGTAACAAAAAAATGCCATTTAAAGTTTTTTTTAAAGGAAATTCAACATAGCATAATTGTACTACGTAATTATTTAGAAATCACAATGAAACATGGAATTGTTCTTCCCATACGCAAAGAAAGTCTGAGCAAGCTACAAATTTTATGTCATTGAAAATCAATTTACTTAAACATTAAAGGAAATACATTTGTAAATGTAAATATGATATAATAATCCAGAATTTTGCGTCTTCAATAAGGATTTCAATAGTGGAATTTTACGAAGAGCGCTGATTTTTATAGTTTACGACTTACTTTTACAATAGGACAATGTACGGAAGCTCTTTCTCGATATACATATTAAACTCAACATTTAATTAAACGAAAATAGAGGGTCATTTCAATGCACATATAAGTTGTCCTTGAAAAAAATAACAGCTACCCTACTCTCAACCCGAACTAAACATGTAAGTGCCACTAACACCATACCTATGACCACTTGAAAAGTTTTCTTATGTATTACCAATTCTGTACCTCTGTACATGACGCAAGTCTAAATGTCCAAGTAAACCGTCAACTGAAGAAGTCAGTGCTTCTCGTAAAAGTCAACTATTAACCAGGATGGAAAATTTTTACGATTTTTATAGTTTATCTTTTTGGTTTTGTTTGCTCTCTTTTAAAGAAAAAATATAAACCCTTATTATTTTATTTGAATTTACCGTAAATGATTCCCGTTTTTAAATGTTTTGTACATTTTGTTCCTTTCACACCAATGATGATGAAATTTACAATAAAAAAAACTTTTTTACACTTTAGAAAAAGGTATACAGCAAGAGTGTTTTTGTATTAAATAGGCATTAAAGAATACATGTACATAAAACCTGGATTAAGTGATAAAAATTTGTATAATAAATAGGCATTTTAGAATTTTGATTTTGGCGTTTGGGTGATAAAAATTTTAATCATAAAACCTGTAAGTGTCCATTTGCAAAGAGCTGAAACCCTGCGCCCGCTAAAAAAATTACGCCAAAATTATTAACCTTTGATAATTTAAAAAAATCATAGTTAGTTAAATAAATTTTAATGTAAGCAGTTTTTCGTTTAATGTATTAAAAGACGTTAATGGTAATATAACAACCCAGCTCTATGATAAACACGATGACATCAACTTTTCTATCATCAACTTCCCTTACTTATGTAGCAATATACCTTCATCGCCTGCATACAGAGTATACATATCTCAGTTGATTCGATACTCAAGAGCATGCTCAACATAAAACAATTTCTAAAACCAGGTGAATTTTTGACAAGCAAGTTAATGAAACAAGAATATCACTACAGCAGTCTAGTTTAAAATTATCATTTCGTAAGTTTTATGGTCGATACAAAGACCTTGTCAGCAAATACAATTTATCATTGAGTCAAATGCTGACGGATTTTTTCATACTAATTGTTAGTCCATTATCTATACATTGAATGGACGACAGATTTTCCCGTTATTTCCCGATCATGACAAGGAGCACACGACAGGTGTGACCGGTCAACAGGTGATGCTCACTCCCCCATGGCACCTAATACCACTTTTGATGTTTTGGAGGTCTGTGTTTGATCTGCTCCTATTTTGTATTGTTTTATGGACTTTGGTGTTGAATAATGTTCGTTATCGTCATATCCTTCTTCATCATAAATGTAATTATAAGGTTAAATTTAGCACCTTAATTTGTGTCTTAAAACAATCCAGGACTTGGTACCACTATTCTCGGTCTCCAAACTACTGCTCTTATTGTTATTGCACTGACGACAGCGGTCCTCCTGTACACCATTTGCTGCAATAAAGACGACGACGAAGACGATGATGATGTGGGTTGCTGTACAAAATGTGGAGTTTGTTTGTTATGTCTATATCCTGTTGCAGGTACACATATTTTCATTGCGCAATTCTTTTTATTTTTTTTACAATTCATCGAGAACTGAAAAATATATCAAATTCTATTTTTGTATCAGAAAAAAAAAATTCCCAGGAAAAATTCCGTTTTTTTTTATTTCTGTACTCCAGCTAATCTCTTTCATCTTCTTTTAGCCGAGCAGTCAATTCAATATGTTATTAAAGCTAAATTGAAGAATTGTAAATTTCAATAACTTTACAACTATATTAACTGTACCCTCTCTACAAAAATGAAATACCACTAGTTAGGGAAAAAATAGAAAACATTTAATATCTTGGCTTGATTCGGTAGCTTAATTGAGTTTTCACATAAGCCATCTGTCGTCCGATGATCGATATTTAAATCATTTGATAGTTTGTCTATTAAAAAAAACAGATATCTATATCTGTTTGACTTGAGAGCTATGATGATTTTGACAATTAAATAAAAATGCATGTCAAAAACAGTTCATGAATTAAGAATAAATGCAACTATTGTTTAGCAAGAGATGAATTACATACTTATATGAATCAACTGATTTATTATTAATAATTTACTAGTATTCAACGACTTCTGTTTATACAGGAATCATTGGTTTTGCTGGATGTATGGTTGTTATCGCAGATTATAAAGACTATGAAAAAGGCTGGGGACTTTACCTTTGCCTGGCAGCGTCATGCTACGTGATGCTTGAGGTTTGTCATCAAATACAAAAGAAAGAAAATTTATACAATGTATAATGAAAGGATGGCTTTCGATACTTTATGGTAATATAATCTGGGAGGGGGGGGGGGGGGGGATTAGATAAGAAACATAAATTACAATTTGATGTATGAATTCTGCTTTTATTATTATGATTTTCGTGTTGTTGTAGTTCAAAATGATTTTGATAGAAATGTTATGATGATTTTCAAATATTTCAAGACCATAATTTGCTGTTGTGCACTATGTGTGTATGCCAAGTCTGGAAAGGAAACAAATCATGGTAGTGGGCAAGACAACACTGGCTATGCTGGACAGGAAGTTGTCTCTTATGGCGGATCAGGAAGCAGTTACGACAACCGCGCGATAGCTAATCCAGGAGCGGAAGGAATCATTTTTGGTCACGTGCAAGAGCACCACCAGATGGAAATAAGCAGTAGCGGGAGCATTATGATCAGAAAGCTACAAATTGCGAGAGTTCTCCATATCAGATGAATGCTATTTCCAGTCAAATGATTTCAATATAAAATTGACTGTGTTTAAAAAATATTAGATATGTTAGAACCGTTATAGTAAATATTAACCTTTTATGTACATATTTGAACATTCTGTTTTGGAATACCTTTAGTGCGAAGAACTCTTATTTAAAAAGGTTCACATTGTAACTGATAATCGAGTTAAACCCAGAGACCATAAACGGAGGAAAAAAATACCTTGCAATTTTATAATACATATTTTATTGAGAAAAAAAATGCAGGTTTGTTCAAATTCATACATTTGACGAAAAATTGATTAAGTCTGTTATCAAAATTATTTTCAAAGTTATATTGATTTTAAATTTTGACTTTATTAAGTTTATTTATGTTTTACAAACATATTTTAATCTTGAAGTCAACTGGTTATTCTTAGTAAGAAAAAAGAGTCACGCTACGAATATGATAAATGCTTTTGAAATAAAAAAAACCTTTTGATTCTCATTGATGTGAGTTATAAATCCCTTGTTGACCATGAGTGTAAAATATTTATTTTCCTGTGAAAAAAGTGATTGTAAGTTTAAGGTTTCAACCTGCCACCATTATTTGAAAATTTAAACCAAAATATCAGCCTATTATCAGCCTAAAATCCGAAATTCCTGCCTCATGCAGTTGATATATCCTTGATAGAATTTTTAAAAGAAGTATTGACTTTTACAGTTGAAGGTTTAAATTGACATTTAAACTTGTTTTGACTTATTAATAGATAGAAAAACCTTTTTGGTAGTCATAGATATGCTGTTGGATTCGCTAACATGTGAAGGCCGGGAGTTTAGTTAAGGTTGCTTATCGGTCTTCAAGGGCAACATTTTAATTTTGTGCTTTATTCTAAAACCAGTTATTTTTGTTTTATGAAATGTTGAGATTAATGTGTTTATATAGTTAAAACTTTCCGTACATTGTCTTTGTCTAAAAGCACACCGTCAGCACTCCGTGCAAAGGTAAAAAAAAACCATCATTTCTGAGATAAATCTCACAAGATAAATTCAGAGAAAAGTCTAAGATTTATTTTATTTGCAATGTGCGACAATTTTTTTTTTATTAAAACATGCAATAGTACAAATGAATTATTTTTTACCTTTTTATAAGATGATTATTTACATGTATTACATTGATGTATAATCGAAAAATAAACATAAGCTAAAGCATTGTTGTGCCTGTAGTCTTGGCTTGTCACTCGACATAAAACAACAGCAACAACGAAAGAAACAACAAGGCACCGATTGTACATTTATGTGTTTACATTGCTGATGAAACAGGAATATCAGCAGTCTCGTTTAAAGGTACTTAGACAGAGTTGAAGTAAATATTTTCGCTATAATATTACGAGTTACATATTTTTAATAGCCTTTCACACAAAAATTAATTAAAAATCTCATTTCATTTAAAAGTTATTAAAAATTCAAATATTTTGGCGGGTTTGATTGACACATCCTTGCACTTTCACAAATTTTAACCTTGTTCTTAATCAGGAAAAGTTGCATTCTTGTTGTGTATTGGTGAGAAATATTAAAACTTTTATTCAGAAAAATAATTTTATTCAGAGTAGAAATTTTAGAAGGCAAAACTCCTTCACAATTATCGTTATTCCGAACTAAGAGTTGCGTACAGAGTTTAGCAAATCGAGCACACTCGTTTTATTTATAGAGGTTGTGTTTTTGTTGATGTGAACAATTCACCGGGTGCGTTCAATCGTCACAGTCTGCTTACCACAACTGAACAGACTGACAATATATTGTGTTTTTGTTTGGCTTTCGAACAAATTTACTCTGAATTTTCTGGATTATAGACTAAGTATTAATATTTTTCATTTATATACAACAAGATTGCCACTTTTCCTAAGGATTAAGAAAAAAATTAAATTTTTCAAAGAGCAAGGATGTGTCAATCAAACACGCCAAAAGAGAACAAGGTTCAAGTTTGCTTTATTTGGCCCTGTGAATTTCTGAAAAACTGATATTGTATAATTTTAGTTAACAATGCATTAAAATATCACTTCGATCGTTGGTGACTGCGATCACATAAAAATGACGTCATTTTCTGGCTAGTAAATGCATTATGACGTCACAAAATGCGTCAATTTCCTCATATTCTGAAGAAGTCTACAAAAACGACAATTTTTTAAAGTTATTTTTTGATATTTTATATAGAGCGCATCCTCTGATCTAAAATATGCAACTACTAACTGTTTCTGAGAATTCATGGACATGTTTTATTTTTTAGATCAGAGGGTGCGCTCATATTATTTTTCTAAAATTTCAAGAACATTGCAATTTCATAAAGCCATTTCTCCAAGACCTGGACTTTGAGGAGAATTTTTTTAATAGGATATGAAAGCACCAAGTCTCTATTTTATTTTATTGCTTTAAATAGAATGTCAAGTGTTGATCAATTAATTGGTATATCAACAGGGCCATTTTATGCATAAAGTGAACCGACCTCTTTGAAATTTGAAAATCTTTTATATGAAATAAGATTTTTAATCAAATTTTTGTGTGAAATGCCATTAAAATACAAGTCGTAATATTATATAGAAAATATTAACTTCAAATATGTGTCTAAGTACATTTAAAGTCACCATTTCGTAAGTTCTATGGTCAATACAATGACCTTTTCAGCAAATTCAATTTATCATTGACTCAAATGCTGAAGGACTTATTTCATACCAATTATTAGTCCATTATTTATACACTGAATTGACGACAGGTTTTTTCCCGTTATTTCTTTATCATGACAACGAGCATTCAGCGGGTGTGACCGGTCGGCAGGGGATGCTCACTCCTACATGGCACCTGATCCCACCTCTGATGTTTCGGAGGTCCATGTTTCCTCTGCTCTTATTTTGTATATTGTTTAATGGACTTTGAGATTGAATTCTGTTCGTTATTTCCATATCCTCCTTCTAGATCTTTGGTAACCTTATAATTTTCTATTCATGAAAAATACTTATCAAATTATTGAGAAGTGAGAGAGAGAGAGAGAGAGAGAGAGAGAGAGAGAGAGAGAGAGAGAGAGAGAGAGAGAGAGAGAGAGAGAGAGAGAGAGAGAGAGAGATTTAAATGACACGCTTTTGTTGGAGAAATCATTTTTTTTCCTGCTGTAAAGTATTATATTTTCAACTGACTGTTAAATGTTGGGCTTCTGAAGAAATACTTTTAAATCCAACAAATATGTAAGGAACAGAAATAGAGATACACATCCCTATTTGTTTTCCTAAAGAAGATGTGTTTGTGAAACATTGATGCCCCCGTATGGCAACAATCGAAGATTAAGCTTTCTCAGTTACAGATCAAATATGCTGGTACCTAAAGTTAAAGGGAGGACAAACTGCCGGGGTCAAGATCGATGGGTCAAAGTTGTTGGTTTCTAAAAAAAGATTTTTTCTCACAAATAACATAAAGGAAGTATTAAAGCGCTGACACTTACCATTCAATAGTCATTGCCGGGGTCAAAGTGTGTAAAAACTCCAAGGTCAATGCCAAAGGGTCAAAGTTGTTGGTATTCAATGAAAGGTATTATCACATTCAGAACATAATTGAAGTATGAAAGCTCTTACCCTTGCTGTTAAAAGGTTATGGTAAGGAAGGATATGGAAATAACGAACAGCACTCAATCCCAACGTCCACCAAACAAACATACAAAACGAAGGTTCAAGTTTGTAAAAGGTAGGTCAATTTCCATGGTTAAGGTCAAATGGTCGAAGTTGTTGATATCCAATGAAAGGCATTGTCACAGAGGTTACATATGTAGAGTATGAAAGAACTATCCCTTACCGTTTAAATGTTATGAACAAGGTTAAACTTTTCTAGTAAGTATGGAAATCCCCAAAGTCAAAGTTAAAAGGTCAAAATTGCTTGTTTTAAATAAAAGGCTTTAACCCCAAAAAGAATATTGAATTATGAAATTTCTAGTACCTACCGTTCAAAAATTTGGGCCATAGAAAAAGTTAGGATTTCAAATGTAAAATTCAGTCAAACTACAAAGTCAACGTCAAAGGATCAACGATATAGTTTTCGAATATCCCCTCATACTGCTGTATTCCAAAGGGAGAAGGTAATATTTCTGGTGCAATGAAATATAAGAAGATAACAGAATTCAACATATGCAAGTGTTTCGAAGTTTATTTGCAAATTTCAATGAATTGTAAGAAAAGATGTGCCCATTTTTTTATAATCTTTATGACCCAGTTATAAAAACGTACATGTGCAGTGTAATCATGAGCCATAATATACATGATAACACAGGGTGACACAAATACTTCAATTTCTTATTATCACAAACCAAAAGTAAAAAATCCCAGGGTGGGAAAATCACCGTCAACTGTACTATCAATCCTTACATACGACATCATCATGTGTTCTGAATCTGCAGCATTTTATTTTTGTCTAACTTGTCTGTTGATACCAAGTCATTTATTACAGGCGACAGGTTTTTTCTTTCCATATTGGATCAAACATAATTCAACATCAGACTGCTTCAGGGGAATCGCTTTCAATACAGCGAATTGTAATGGCACGATAGAAGGTAAATATTCACGACGTAGTTTATGCGTGTTACTTATAAATCTTACCTGCTGATATTCTTTTTCGTGGTTAAAAAATCATTTGACATAAAAATTACTCCTTGTAACAGAATAGATAAAGAAAATAATTTTCCTTCCTGCAAGTATAATCTATATCTTTCTAAAATGATAACGTCTCCATACGAGTGAAAAATTCTCGAAAGGGACGTTAAACAATATACGATCAATCAATTTAAAATGATAAGACTTTTGACGATAATTAATTATGGTGTTAGAACTCCCAATGCATGCCAAATTCATCATAATATTTGCAAACATATTGGAAACAATCCAAAACTAAATTAGGCTAAAATGTAATGTAAGAATAGACAGAAGACCCACTGAGAACGGTTGCTATACAGGAATAGTACTGAATAAGAGCTTATTGAATGTAGACAAATCAGAAATGCATTTTCATTATCATGCTATTTCTTCAGCGCCTGATCTTCCTTAATTGTTAGTTAATTGTTATATGTTGTACTCAAATACAGTATATATCAATTGTATTTACATATATTCTTGTACGTTCGAAACAGTGTTTAAGAAAAAAATTCAACCAAGCCTCTTGCGTTACTGCTCACTAAGATATTGACAGTAGTGAAAGAAAAACTTCAAGAAAACTGTTCAACTATTTATTCAAGAAGTGGTGTGAATCAGATGTGAATACTTAAAAATTCTAAAGAACTTTTGGACAATTTGGAATCACAAGACTTTACAAAAATAAACAACTCCCCACGAAAAATTAAAATCCAGGCTTTTTGATATCATTGACAGCTGCTTCTTCAACAAAAATGGAATTCGTAAATTTACTTACCTCGTCATTGCTCATTTGCAAAACTATTTTGTTAAAACAGATTCTGATTGCACACACAAGTACTGTGAAGTTGACATCAAGAAGATGCTTGAGTTTCTGATTGACAATATCTATGTGGTTTTTGGAGACCAGGTATTCCAACAATCTATTGGAAGTCCAATGGGTAAAAAATTGCGCTCCGTTATAAGCAGGCTGATTTTTATATTCATATGAAGCGGAATTCATTCAAAGTATTATGCGTGAAAAGAAGAAAACACTTGCTGTGGCCTTAAACTCGACATTTAGATATATCGACGACGTATTGTCAATTACTAATGATAATTTCCATTCCTACGTCGATACGATATATCCTGGTGGGCTGAAGATAAAAGATACCAAAGAGTCCGACACTTCTGCTTCATATTTGGATATTTTACTTGTAAAAAAAACACTTATTGTAATCTAACAACCAAGCTGTATGATAAACGTGATGACTTAAACTTTTCTATCGTCAACTTCCCTTACTTATGCAATATACCTTCATTACCTGCATACCGTGTATATATATATACGAGGGTTGATCCAAAAGTTCGTGGAATTTTTTCATATTTTATTCATTTTTAAGTTGAATTGGTTGAAAATCAAAAATGAAAATATGGACACTTGATGAATATTTTAAATTGAAAAATAGTTAAAATATCTTTGATAGTAACCCTATGGCAGTTGCCATAGAAACGGTTGTTTGGTTATGCGGGGGAGACATAAACACGTTCATTTTTATTTTAATTCTTAATACGTGAAATGAGATTTAAACCGATCTGTGTGGTATATAAACGAAAATTATGTCATTATTACGATTGCTTGGTCTTTTATAAACCTTTGTGTGAACGTTTTATTGATTTTTAATGGATATTTAGTTTATTAATTTATTATTTATGGTTCACCTTTAAGTTGTTAGACAACGTCAAATTTCGGTAAAGTCATACGTTTTGTGAGAAATCCGGGACCACTCTTTCTTAAAAGCGTATATAATAGACAAAGGCCTGGGAAAAATGCATTTAGTGACTAGTTTTTCGGTGGCATGAGAAATTTAAGAAAATAGAACTGCCATGGAAGTTGATTAAAGGTGTGGTGGCTTTTTGGAGACTGTTTTAGGTGCAGATCTCCTTAAACAAATTAAAAGCGTTAATGGACGTTGTCGGCTGCCGTACTGTTATTGTTAATTGCTACTGAAATTGGATCATTACTGGAACATCATGTGGAAAGATGGGTAGCAATTTGAAGTATCTGTAAAAAATGAAGATTAGTTGGCGCAAGAGGAAACCCAGGCTTTGTAAAGAAAAAAAATAGAGAAAAAGACAGCTTTTTGTAGAATTACGAATTCAATTTAAATTAGCGTGAGTTGCATGTATAACGGGACGTGACATATCTAACTTGACGTTACGTCGAAGTCTCCCCCGGGTTTCACAACTATCCATTTTCAGAAAGTTCGTGTGACCACATTGGTAATTGGAAAGTAGTAAAATTTTCCAATATTGTTGCATAATGACTCTATATTATGAATATGCCTGTTGTTTGTTTTCATCAAATCGCTATAAAATTTTAGAAAGAAATATATATATATATATATATATATATATATATATATATATATATATATATATATATATATATATATCAGTTGATTCGATACACTAGACCATGCTCTACGTATGATCAGTTTCCTCAACGAGGTAAATTATTGACAAGCAAGTTGATGAAGCAAAAATATCAGCAGTCTCGTTTAAAATTATCATTTCGTAAGTTCTATGGTCAATGCAATGACCTTGTCAGCAAATACAATTTATCATTGAACGTTTTTCATACCTATTGTTAGCCCATTATTCATACACTGAATTGACGACGGATTTGTTTTCCCATAATTTCCTGATCATTACAACGAACACACAGCGGGTGTAACCGGTCGGCAGGGGATGCTTACTCCTCCATGGCACCTGATCCCACCTCTGATTTTTGGAGGTCCGTGTTTGCTCTGCTTTTATTTTGTATATTTTTAATGGACTTTGAGTTTGAATACTGTTCGTTATCTCGTTTAAAGTCATCATTTCGTAAATTCTATGGTCGATACAATGACCTTGTCAGCAAATACAATTTATCATTGAATGAAATGCTGACTGACGTTTTTCATACCAATTGTTAGTCCATTATTTATACACTGAATTGACTACGGATTTTTTCCGTTATTTCCTGATTATGACAATGAGCACACGGCGGGTGTGACCGGTCAGCAGGGGATGCTCACTCCTCCATGGCACCTGATCCCACTTCTGATGTTTCGGAGGTCCGTGTTTGCTCTGCTCTTGTTTTGTATATTTGTGTAATGGACGTTGAGATTGAATACTGTTCGTTATTTCCATATCCTTACTCCATATCCTTTATATCTTTCTGTAGTTAAGTTGATTATCTTCCACTGCAGTTTAATATTTGACACATTACTGAAAAATGAAATAACTTGAAATCTTGTTAGGCATTCATAATATATTATGTTATTTAATATCTTTCGTTCGATAATATATCTTCAAGAGACCATGCGTAATCAATATTGTATACAATACTGTACAAAGAATTTTTAATTGAAGTTCCTGGCTCCGGGATCATGAAACAAACTATAAGACTTAATTGAAATTTTTAATCACCGATAAAATATTTATTAATTATGGAATTTATTTCTTCATTTGCATATAACAACATCTCTGTGAAACAATATAAAAATATCCCCAACCCTAACCCTTTTGGTCTGCTTGAATTTTACAACATTTTAATATAAAAATAAAGATCTTGATCAACTTAGGCTTAAGATGTTTCAAGATATCGGGTCAGCATTTTTCAAGTAATGTTTTAATGTTAAATGGCTTAACTGACTTTTTATTCAACAAACAGAATAAAATGAAGGTTGTAAATAATGAAATCAATGGAAGATCTTTAATCACTTAATGGGCGCATATAACCCTGACCCTAGCCCTGGGGATAACAATCTTGACAGAGCTTTACAGTTTTAATTGCTTCTCAAACCATTTGATATACAATTTATATCTACTAAACACTGTTACGGAATGGATTGATGAAATTCTGAACTGAAGCATCTGCGAAAAGAAATAAGAAGTTGCATTCTAATTTACAATGTTATATCGTCCAAAATATAATCGTTGGATAGGAGTGAAGTATAACACTTCAGTAACATACAAACCTATTTACATAATAGATAATTAAAAGCGAACTTGAATAAGACATTTTTTCTGTTTTCACTGCATTATTCTCAGGCACTGTATTATCAGTTTTTACAATATTTGGAGCAGGGAAACTAAGAGAAAATATTTGACCACGTGCCTGATGGTTAGGTATTAGTACATGTAATTCAATGTCAATGTATAATTGTACTGAAAATAAGCAATTAATTATTTAACCATAACATGTAAAATGATTAATCTTTGATACACAACACAAAACAGTGAGATTCATATGATAAGGCATTTTTCATTAAGAACAGAAGTGGACATGAAAGATGAAAGCACGGATTATACTACAGACAAGATCATTCAGAAATGTAAATAAAAGCTTATTTCCTCCTGGGACGAGCTACAAAAGTCTTTGGAGAATATGCATGTATCGAAATTTCCACTATCGAACTATCTAAACTATTTCATGGAACGACTGCTCAAATAAGCCCTGATTGTCATCTCTCACGAGAGATGACACATTAAGTTTGATTTCCGGATGTGAGGTCCCAGTGTAAGCAGCCATTAAAAATCGGTAAGCCTCGGATGATTACGCTCGTGCGGGGCAAGAACTATCCGAGGAGCACCGAGTGGTCACTTTGATGATGATGCAAATTTCTAAATATAGAGCGGTAAACAATGAGCGATCCAAACATTGAAAAAGAAAAAGGGCTGCACAGGAATCACAGAGGGCCAGACACACAATATCGCCTGCTGGTTGTTTGCATGGTGTTCAAAATATATATGTACTTATTTAATCATCTACATGTTTCCATGTAGGCTACTGCGTAAATGATCTATGGTCTGCACCAGATGAAATATTCTAACTAGGTCAGCGCGTTGAATCACAAATGATCTGCTGAGGCGTGGATCCAAGAATTAACAGAAAAACAACATCAAAGTTAATACATTTACATTTAGTACTATAAACTGCTATGAATTGATGTCAAAAACTTTTTTATGGTTGTCATTCTATAATTTATTGCCATTTTTTCCACAAAAAAATACAAGTATGGGGATAAGAAGAGACAAGAATATTTGAAAAACTACGAGCATTGGAAGAAAACTCACAAAGATTATGATTGAGTATTTTCTTGAATGTTTACAGTTTTCTTTTTAATCATATGACCCGGTATAATAAAAGAGCTTGCAATAATTTTCTATACAATTTTATTGAAATGAAGCCAAAATTAAAATATATTCCAAAAACAGTCGTAAATTCAGGGTTGGAAAATTGGGATTTTTTCCAGATAATTCGTGAATGCTTAATTTTAGCTGATACCTTTTAAATTTTACTATCGTATTGCGCTAAGTGGAACTTGGACAGCTGTTGTTACTATCTTGAGTGTGTTTTTAAATAAATTAACAAATACAAATGCATCTAAAATTCTTTTAGTTATAATAACATTATGTGATTTAAAAAAAAAAAATTCTCAGAAAATATGAATTGCTCATTGATTCTATCTGAATAGTACGAAGGTATGAAATGAATGGCCAATTCATTCTTTCCTTTATGTTTAACGTATTTTAAATTGACATCCACAAATTTTCCTTTAAAAATATAATTATCCCAAAGTTAGATACATGCCTATATGAAGATTATAATCCTTTCACATACTTAAGTATGAGAATACGTTACAATCAAACGTGCAAAAAAATAGTAGTTTTGGGATTTTCCATATAAAAGAGTTTTCTAAACACGATTTATATATAGTTCAGTGTGAAATGCTTAAGCATGAAACGTAATATTATTTCGACAATTTCAGAAAAATATATTTTCTTCAAATCTGAGTGTCCCAGCCCGGCCCTTTAACATTTCACTGTTGTAAATGCATGTACACTGCAAGTCATCTCCCTTATCCATACTTTTTCTTTTAGCATAGTCATGTCTTCTCCAAATATATGGTTTTTCAAAAAAATCAAAAACTTAAGAACTTTCCTTCCCATGTACAACATACGATTTTGGAGTTTGAAAGCTACCCCTTTTCCTGTTCTAATTACCATTCCCCTAAAAATAGTAATGAAAATATTCTGTCTTTAATAGAAAAATGTTACATTCCACTGTTTATACTTTGACACAGATGGAGCCAAAGAGATGACATTTAAGGCTTTCTGGAAAGCCAAACTTGTTAAATTTAGTACTGTCTGCCGCCGTGAGGTCAGTCAATGACGTACGTGAGGCCTTTGTATGAAGTAGCTTATAATATGAGTAAAAAATTGTTGCACACACGGCATGCTGAAGAAATTAAGCTTTGATAGTACATGTAGTTTGCATGATAATAAAAATGAATGGAAACAAAAAAAAACTTACTCTATAAGCTGATACTGGATATCCTGTTCTTCAAATTTCTCCTCTAATTAAGCAACAAATCCTCATCTATCAGGTTATTTTCATACTTGTGTGACATAGTGTAACACTTAGATACTGAGTATCCGTTAGGGTCTATGGGTTTTTTCTTTGTTTTCTTTTTCTTTCTTATTTATTTTACAATATTTGTCTCTACATGACATCTCTGAATCCCTTCAATTTTACGATGTATTTATATAATGTATATATATAGAACTACCGTTTAATAATTATTTGTTCAGTTGGTTAAGAGAATAATATATAAAGTTAGATACTTACAATGAAAAATTTCATTTTGTAACTTTCATATTAATTAAAAAATAATTCAAAATATAAAAATGTGTATCAGAACATTATGTGATAAAATAATAATCTTTTTCAATCAACTTTCTCATATATACTCTTCAAAAAAAGAAACGCATAGTAGGAACAATGCCCTGAAAAATGTATGATAGTTTTGTCATACCTTTTATTTTTGTATGGATACGATGTATTCGAGTGAAATGCATGATTTTTTAATGCAATTGTTAACTTTACAGCTATTCTTCAAGTCTCACAGACAAAAAGACCTGACTTTGCAAAATTTCCCCCAAAATTTTTATCTCAATTTTCATCTCTTAATTTCCGATGCAATTCCTTCAGATACAAAGGGGCTATCAAAAGCGGGGGTTCTCGATATTTTGAATCTGGTTTTATCTGAAAAATGACGCTTCCTAAAATTGCTGCATCTGAATATTGCGTGGCACAAAAAGGAAAATGGGCGACTGGAAGCAGGGGTACTGCAATCTACAATTGCAAGAGGTTTTAATGTTACACACAGACCATATCTAACCTATAAAACATAAACCATTAACATCGAACACCCAATGTTAGCAAAAAATATGGTAGACTACGTGTGACATCAGCAGCACAGCATCACTTCGGAGGATTTCGTTAATTGCATAAATGTAATGCAAGGACGTCATCTAAAGCATTAGCTATCCCTGAACTGCACAGATCATCTAACAAAACCGTTTTCAGATGACTACGAATTATTGCAAGAGGATTATTCATGCCATTGTTTCGACCCCGCAACACCCCAAATATCGACTTCAAAGATCTCAGATCAATAGCGTATGATCACAGCATCACTGCTGAACATTTTGGTTAACCTACTAGTCCAGAATGTTTATCTGAAAGCCTCTTATAAGTTTAAGAGTGCTAATGCTTTGTAATGAATGTTAGACAGATAATTGCCTCCAGGACGTTAAAAAAGTTGGTGGTGGTAGTGTAACGATATAAAACACGGTATTATAAGAAAGTAAGATTGATTTGGTTCGAATTCATTGGACTTTGAATTTAAAAAGGTACTCTAACCATGTTCTACCTACACATACCCATTCAATTTTGCAGCATCCTAGAGCGGTATTGCAATCTCACAATACACATCCACATACGGCTCGTTTGACACACCTATTCTTGCAAAGAAACAACAACCTGTTTCAGTCACAGTCATCTAAATCGCTAGATTTAATCCAAATTAAGCAGCATTGGACAAAATGGATTGACATGATTTGCCAAAGACAATCGCATCCCCAGACTCTGCAACAGCTGACTAAAGTTCTACATTTGGAGTGGGAGAGTATGCCTATACAGTTTTTGTTACACACATTTGCTTCCATTAGATGCCGTTTGTGGCTATCATTTGTGTCTGCGGGGGGCATACCAGATATTGATCTTTAATGGTTTTAAACCGACTTTAATTTTAAAATTGTTGAGTAATTATGACATTTAGATAGTATTCCTGTTGCTTACCACATTTCTGTTTTATCAATGCATCATTTTACTAAATTATCTTTATGTCCAATGCGTCACTAAAATTCTACTATGCGTTTCTTTTTTTGAAGAGTATATATGCTTCAATTTCATTTGGTTGTAAGCTTAACCTGATTTTTTCCTGTATTACGTCAGAGGGACTTGGTACCACAGCTCTTGGTCTTCAGGCTACTGCGTTCATTATTATCGCTCTGACAACAGCGGTCATCATGTATTCCATTTGTTGTAATAAAGACGGCCTGGTTAAAGTGGGATGTTGTACAAAATTTGGAGTGGGTGTATTGTGTTTATATCCTGCTGCAGGTACGAATATCTTCATTGTATTGAAATCATAAAACAAAAAATGCACAAGGAGATGATCACTCCTCCATAGAACCTGATCCAACGTCTGATGATTCTGAGATCCTTTTTTGCTATGTTACAATTTTTTTGTTTATTGTATTTTTTGAGTATTAATATTTTTTTTGTAATCTTTTATATTTCATTCATTTAATTAAATTTAGTTTCACTATTTAAATTTAGATTTGTGTCATAGGATCAAACAAAAAAAAAAATATAGTACATTAATTTTTTGCTTACTATACAATACGTTTGTATAGTAAGATTAATTATAATTTAAAATTTCAAAGTATTTTCAATAATATTCGAAGGTATGATATTTTAAAAATAATTTTGCTTGCAGTTTGTTTTATTTCTTATTAACAAAATTAAATGTATTAAGGACATTCAATATATTAATTTCCATTCAGATGTCGACTTGATATATACCAGGAATTGTGTAATTAAACATACTGGTTTGTATTACTTTAAACGATGATGGCAAACCGAGTGACAAACGAGAAATTTTAACTTTTTTTATCATCAACTTTCTTATTATATGTAGATTTATCCCTCAATCATCTGCATATGTTGCTTACACCTCAAAACTTATTCGATATGCACAAACATGCTCTAAATAATATGCGGGTATGTTAAGGAAGCATACGTGTCATTTTTCTGGAAATTTAGACTTTTTAAAAAAAATGTTTGATAATTTACAAAAAACCGCTGATAAGCGTTACCTATTATCATCTATTGCGTAAAGATAAAAGAATGTCTAGCGAAACGACGTGCAGCACCACCACGGCATCATGTGACTTCTATTAATAGCGAAATTTTCCTTGAAAAAAAAAGCGAACAAAAACAACAATACCCCGGATTTTAATGATTTTTTTACGTAAATTATTTAGTTGAAAAACATCTAATTTGCCTTAAAAGTCCTGCTAGAATCCCACTGTTCCGTCAGTAAAATAATTATTCCACACATTCGCACGAAACCTTACCTGATGTTTTGATTGATTGCATATTGTTTTACGTCCCTCTTCAGTATTTTTCACTCAAATGGAGACGTCACCGATGCCGGTGAAGGTCTTCAAATTGAGACCTAAACTCGGTACTTAGGGCCATTGAGCAGCGAGGGTTCTTTATCGTGCCAACGCCTACCGTGACACGGGACCAACGTTTTTAAGGTCATATCCGAAAGACCCGTGACTTTCACTTCTAGTGCCGAGCGCTTGGCAAAGAAACAATCACTACCTTTGTTTACGTCTTAGGTACGACGCGGCACCGCGATTGAGAATCGAACTCGGGCCTCTCGATCACGAAGCGAACGTTCTACCACTAGGTTACCGTGACCGGTCCCCAATGTTTTGAATTTTTTACCTATGAACTGAGATTTTTCCTAAAACCATGTTTAACTCTTGATTCTAGCAACACTTTCCAAGTATTTTAGGATGCAAACTTTCCATCTGTACAAATTTTATGTTTTGAAAATATACAGCTAATTGTTTTTCAGTTGCATTATTTTTGTCACAATCGACAGAGGAAATGCCGTCCGGGATACGTGTATAGCTGACTGTCTTCAAAAGAGAATATAATCTACAAAAATAAATTAGCATACCTATTTTATTAACTGAACTCCATATGAATTTTAGAAAATATTCATGTTTGCTTTTACGTACATTTTTTCATGCTGTCATAGCCAGACATGATCAATTCCCGATCAATTCAACAGATGACGTCATCAGTGGTAGATTTTAATCAAAATGACAGAATACATCATAACGAAATAAGAACATTTTATCATACCCCCTGTTTGAAAAGCGGGAGGGTATATAGTAATCATTAATTCCGTCCGTCCGTCTGTACGTCCGTCCGTCCTTCCCTCCGTCCGTCTGTTACACTTTTGCTCTTATCCGCAACTCCTCTTATACTATTGAGTGAAATTTAATGAAACTTTCACAGAATCTTTATTAGATATTGCCATTGTGCACCTCCTATCTTACTTTTTTATTCGACACGTATTTTACGTTTCCAAGAGCAAAATATGGACATTGCCATTTTTTGTTTACCTATGACGTCACATAATACAAGCTTCTGGATAACTTTGATTGGACGAGTTATTTCTCTTTACACATTACCATAAAACAATATAGCAACACATCGACATTATGGGAGGCGGGGGTATCATTTAGTGAACTCATTGCTCACAGTACCTCTAGTTTTTGTTAATGTTTACACGTATCTGTTCATTTTCTAGAGCTAAATTATATCGCTAAATACCAATAATATGTTCTACGGTACGACCGTTGGGGCGAGCGCAGTTATTTAACTATCAAAAACCTTTACACTTTTACTTGCACTGCCTATCCTCAGTTCATCACTTCCCAGGCATCGGGATCGAGATTTTTCGGAAGTTTCCGACAAAATCGGAAATACCCGAGCCGTTAAAGTGACGAAAGTATGACGTCAAATAAAAAGTCCAGTTGACACAAACGACAGTTTTGTGGCATGGAGATTGCATTTAAACGTTGTTTGTAATCTTTTTAAAGTAAGTTGTTGCTATGTTTTAGCCACCATGTTGCTTTGCACCGCAAAGGATTATTGGGATTGAAGAATGTTTTCACGTGCACTCATAAAAATTTCTTGGATCAATGTGCAGATTTCAACCTGAATTTCCTCTGTTTGTACACGTTAGTCTATTGAGCTCGCTACGCGAGCGGCGCTTCGCGCCGTCTCGTTGCGCTCGCTATTACAAAGAATTGTGTTCTAAATTTGACGTCAACTCGCCTACTATGATGTCATAATGTAGCACTGATTAAGTCAAGGTAGAATATTTTTTATGCTTCCTTATTCCCCCTGAAAGGAACGGAAAGAGAATTATTTTAATAATGGTCATAAGTTGTAAACCTAGTAGTAGCCGTGTGTTACATGTACTTTCGGTAACATATAGCTATTTATAAAACTAAAACAATATTTTCAATAATCTGAAAGAGTACGTACAAAATGTAATTACTTTTGAGGCAATCATCAGTTCCCATATGTCAATAGTGCCTGTTTTGGACGGTAAACAGTTGAATGCACCGTTTATTTAATTATACTGAATTTCTTATGCATTTAGGATGTCAGAAAAATTATTCGTCGATTGTCAATACGTTCACGTTTTCATCGACTTTGTGGGAAAGTAATTAAAGCTTTTGTGCTGGAGTCAAAAAGTTAGGAGTCGATCTTTACGCCCCGGGTTCGAACCAAATGTGGGACGTGGAGACCGGTTTTTCCTAATAAACCGATAAACCGAGGTCCTGTGTCGCAGAAAAGATCGATGCAAGCATAAAAAGGATTTCTTACTCTACTATGGCCTATGGTGGCGACTTCGTCTTAGTGAGATATTCTTGAGAGGGGCTAAAACAATAAAACAGACAAACAATAAAAAGGAAGCTTTTAACTTCACGCTTCTAGTTTTTCTCAATAAGAAGCTTTGAAGAAAATTAATCGAACTCTATCTATTTATTTGATAATTAGAGCATCGTAATTATTTTAGTTTCGTTTTTTCTGCACTCGCAGTTATGTTTGTACGTTTGTTATCTCTTGATAATTCTACCGGAATGTAAATTTTGCTAAGCGAAAGGTAAGGAGCTAAAGCGGCCTTATTGCCTGACGTCACGGTGTCAGGCTGTATAAGGATTGATAATTGCTTGATCCGAAACTCATAGATCATACCCAGAGAGCTAGATTTTGTGCAAGCTGATTTACATTGGAAATCTTTTACCTGCATTTTAAAAGAAACATTTTTCAGGAAAACAATGATTTTACAGATGCAAAATAATGCAGTATTTACTTTGTTTACTCTGTTTGCATGAAGCAGATTATTCCATGTGATTTACCGTTTCAACGTGTCCGTGTATCTTTTTTTCTGCATTTCCATCAGTCCATTTAAATTCTACGAAAGAGGTGAATCGCTCCTTTCGCGCCAAATGTCATGAGTAAGGGATCTACTCGCCTTTTGTTGGATTGTTCTATTGTATGAATGGGGGTGCTAACTTCCATGGAATTTAATAAAGTTTGTTATTGTAACCTCCATCTTCTTATAATTCAGAAATTCTTTCTACAAATTTTATCTTCTTCCTTAAAACAACATAATTATGAATCGTATATATCAGAATATGGACATGCAAAACAAAAGAAATGATTTTTCTTATTTGTTTCCCCTCTGTTGGTTTATTCCAAATTCTAATGTGCTAGTCACGTCACCACAAACGATCGATTCAGTTCAACCAGGTTCCAGACGAGCGTGAAGTAGAATCGACGACTCTCAGCATCCGTTGCTTTATGCACTTATCAACCCTTTTAAAGATTTCAGCTCTTTAAGGTCAGCTAATTTGTTATTAATGAATTCCTGAATGGCCTTCATTTATACAGGAATAATTGGCTTTGCTGGGTGCATGCTTGTTGCCAGCGACTACAAAGACCACGAGAAGGGCTTCAGCTTTTATCTCTCCCTTGCAGCATCATGTTACGTGATGCTTTTGGTATGTTCAAACAATATTGCACATACAACGCGGTTTTAATGAGTGTGAAAGGTCTTTAGAATTTTTTTAAAAACTTAAATTGAAGTATTTTTTGTACTTTCAGAGCTTAGTCTTCTGCTGTTTCATATACAAAAATGCAAAGCAAGAAAAAGGCACAGATAATAAGGAAGGGAGAGTGAATAGAAGCTATGTAAGCAATGAGGTTGCCCAATATGATGAATCTAGGAGCAGTCAGGATAACAGAGTTATGGTATCTTCAGGAGATGGGGGTCTTGTTTTGGGTCATGTGCATGAGGAACACCATGTGGAAATTAGCAACAGAGGGAGCATTATAATTAGCACGCGACAATTCGCAAGAATTTTCCATATCAAATGAACCCTGCTTCCAGACAAATTGTTTCTGTTTAAAATAAACTAATAACAACTGTGACTCTAAAAATCAATCTTTTATGTATATATTTGAGCATGACTGTTTTGGAATACTTTCAGTGAGAACAACGTTTAACGAACAGCTATGATAAAAGAAAGTATATGGTTATTTAAATTCGAAAATCCCATTGTCTACGACAAAAGTAAAACATTGATATTCATTTTGATTTTTTCTCTAAACCTTTGTTTCTGTAGCGTGAACTTTAGATATATAGAGAATTAACAGTCCAAGTATTTGCACATGTAAACTTAACTAATACAAAATATTTTAGCTGGAGTAATTGGTCATATAAGCTAACATATACGATGGCAGAATTATTAATAATACTTCTCTCGTGTTTATCGATTTCAAGTCATTCACAATTACTTTTCACCAGATACTCGTATCTCCAAAAGATAATTGCTCTAGATATTTTAAGTTTAAAACACCATTTAGATCTTAAACAAAATAATAAACATATATTGCAGTAAGAAGGACTTTTAGAAATTTATATCAAGTAACAAAACGAATTTCCAAGCGTATATTTAAAGCATATTTGTTTCAGAAATAACTCTATTAGAAGTGTACAGCTTCATAAGACTGTATAAAAGGTCTCTTATTTAAATATATGAAGTTATCGAACAGTATTTATGAATAAAGGTCAACAAAACAATACAAAAAAGGAGCAAAGCTCAATGACTCAGACTTAATGAAAAATTGCATTTGCTTCTTTGTGTTGCCCATACATAAAATGTATAATTTGATACTCAAAAATTGTAAACATTTCCCTTACACTTGCAAGATATATATTCAATTAAACTAAACATAGAAATTGTTTTCGATCTTATTGTAAAATCAAATAATTTAATTTTGGTTTTAACACTTCATTTGATTCGATAAATAATTAATCTATAGCTAAATCATATAACCTGGTTTGCCTACATCGCAATGACTAACGCCAAAAACGTATCAATGCACTTGAAATTATGGATTGCTATTTCATTCCTGAAATAAAATTGTAGGAATATTTACAAAGTATTTCCTTGGTTGACCAATGCTCCTAGGTGATACAATTTTTAATAATGTTGGGTTCTATTGGCGTTTTATTTAGGTGTCGAGAAATCTTAGGATTGACATTTTTTAACATTCTACAGGTAAATATTTAGCTATATTGGCTAGCATACATTTCATTTTTTAAAAAGAATATCAATATCAATTCAACTGTTGATTAATCAATCAATCGTAATTTAATTCCGTTGGTACATGTATATTTTCCAAGTTTTACATAAATTACAGGGGGCATCATTGAAAAAATAATTGAGAAAAGGTAATGCTGGTGCTACAGATAATTTGAGCTTTGTATAATTTTCATATTACTAAAACAATGACGGATAAATTCTACATAACACTATATATAACATAATCAAGAATTTTTCAAGTTGTACACATAGTTAATAAAATGATAGATAAATTTGAAAGTACACGAATTCTGAAAAAAGAGTATTGTCAATAAATTTCTAAGCAATGAAAAACTAAAGGTACTTTGAGCAATGCGCTCACTAAATGATACTTCCGCCTCCCATAAAAATAAAATGGCTATGAAAATGGAAAATTGTCCTCTCCATATTGTTTTAAGGTAAAGTGTAAAGATGAATAACTCTTGGTTTTCCATCTTACTCAAAGCCGCCACACCTCACATCATAGATGGCAGTGACCATATTTAGCTATGGAATATTTAAAATCAAAAAGTAAAACAAAAGTTGAACAATGTTATTATGTAATAAAGATTCTTTGAAACTCTTGTTAAATTTCATTCAGTGGTTTAAGAGGATTTGCGGACTAGAGATGGGTATCCGAAAGCGTAACAGACTGACGTCCAGATAATATTTTATCCTTCCTTTCAAAGAATTTTCGTGGCGTGTGAAAGGCCAACAACGATATGTTTTGAAAAGTTTATCAATTCATTATAATATAAAAAAAACATTATAGTCCGATTATAAAATTAAACATTCGAGGGGTGATAAAAAAGTTCGCAAACTCTCTCTATATCAATAAAACCAAAATTCAGATGAGAATGAAAATTGGTACACTCCTAACCATACACAAGTTCTAGAAAAAGCATATGCTGAATAATGTTTTCCCCTTGTTTGTAACGTTTCAATGTGAAAATGACGTCATTATGTAGGTCACTTGTGACGAAAAATGGTTGTCTCACTCGTTCAACAAACGACTGTACAATTTATTGCATATCTTAGGAAAATATAACATATAATGATTGTTACACAGTTAATTTAGACAAATGACTTACTATAAATTTAATAAATGATTGGATTGATTGTTTAAGTGAAGGAAGGTAGCTGGTTAAAAATGACACACGTCATATTGCTCAGTGAAAGCGAGTTTGAAAAATATGTGTTTTTAATTAAGCAATTTGCTATCAAAGACCTCCAATTAACACTTTGAAAAATAGCTGAATATTTGAACAATAATATAATTATTCAATACCTAAGATATCGTTTACTTTAAATTTTAAAGATATTAGATATGTTGAAAAGGAGGCACCCATTCTCTTTACACCTTCAATAAACATCTTTCCCGATACAGAAGATTTGTGTTTTAATGGTCGCCATGCTTATTTTTGGAAAGGATATTCTTATCTTCTCATTCTGTTGCCGAGATTTGACAATTTCTGACAAATGAACTGTTCTTGTTATGAAAATTAACTTACATGGAAAGAAATATAACACTCAGAAAAAATATTACAGATTTTGTGACAGAAAGCTTCGGATCAGGTAACCGCCAAGTGATTTGCACATGCTCAGAACGGTGGCTGATGTGTATCAAAATCAGATAGTCCTAAGTTAAAATATAATCAACACTGAAACCATATTCAGTTTCTTTTATAAAATTTATTCATTTAGTTCGCGAACTTTTTGATCACCCCTCCTACATACAGTGATTCGAATATGACCTGACAAATAAATCTATGATACCTTATTATAATGTTGAGTAGACTACTTGTTTTGATTCAGTGAGTGGAATTTCCTTTTTTTTCTAGCCACGAAATTGCTAAGCTATGAAATGTTGTCTGAGCAGATAGTTTATCTTTGTTTACAAAGAAGGCCTGGTATCAAATGTACAAATATAGCTTGACCAATAAGATCTAAGTATACGAAAATGTAAGGACAGCACGAAGAGATAAAGATAGTTTAAAAGGTACTTAATATTTGTTTTAAGATAGTTACGGTATACTTCGTGATACAGATGTGTTGACATTTCTAAAGATACATTAAAACGTTGTCAATAGTTCGTCATTATCTCTTTAATACAGAATTCATTTGCATGACATACTTATCAGCATTATTGAACTAGCAGCTGAAATGCCTGGTCTCCGTATGTATATTTATAGCCTGTCTTTATAATACGGGGTTGTAACACTTCCTGCCTACATCTAATTTATTGGCATGAACCTTGTGTAATCCATTAAGGACACATATTAGAAAGAGTCTCTCGTGTTTGGTAGAGGATTTGGACTTTAGTGATTTTATTTTACATTTCCTGTAACTTGCAAATAAAAGAAAACTTTGAATTTAAAATGAACTTCTTCTCCCAATTATTCACTTATATATACTATTCAAATTCTTTGATCAAAGATCAATTTTCAGGTTTCTTTTACTTAGTGATGACGAATTGCAACAGCTTAACACTTACTCAGCTGCAGAAATCCAATCCGTTGAAAATGTATAATTTGTCGAGAAAAAAAGTTGTGTTCAGGTGAATGCAATTTCTTTAAAATCTAGTTTTATTTCTATTTCAAATATAAAACAAACTCACTACTATCTAAATTAGCGTTTTCACATTTCTGTTGAAGCTGATTTGACCGTAATATGAAAGTTAAAAAGTTATTGTTGCTCCAATGGATTATAACGCCAATAAAAACCAATTTTAATTCTTATAATAAAAATCAGTTGAAATTCTTATCCGTGAAAATTATAAAAAGGATGCATACAGACGCAACAAAAAGACATATACAAAGGCCTCTTAATCAGTTTTTAAAAAATTAAAATCCAAAAAAAATTAAACATCAGTACGGGTGTTGTTTAAACAGTTTGAAAACAACGGAAAAAGAAAAAAATTCAAACATTTATAAGACGTTAATAATTTCAAATGTACATAGAATGTAACACATATTCGGAGCTATACATATATTTAAAATATTAGAATTTCCCCATAAGTTCATGTTCCACAACAAAAGCAAGATAGGGTAAGACCAGTATTCGCCCCCCAAATTTGGGTGTCTTTCAGAATGATCCAACAGCTTATTTATAAAAACCTTCGCAGCACTGTTAAGACCTACTATGAGAAAATCAACGGAAAAAAGACGTGCAAAAAGGGGGATTTTTAAAAATTTGATTTATTTTACTTAAGCTGTTTTATTATCACATAACTTTAATACTTAGTGAAATAACATAGTATAACCCACTCTGTACTGTATGAAGCTGAGTCCCATCAATGGACAGTCACGTGATGAATGCATAGTTCGTGTACTGTATGTAGGTCATTAACTTTCAATATCGTAAGGGCATACTGTAGTTGAAATTAAATATTGTAGCTATTAATTGTTTTTGCATACTTTGTAGATTCTGAAAAGTGCTGCTGCTTTGAATAGAATTCATGTTTTAATAGTTAAATTTAAAGCAAATAGGCCAATGGCGAAATATGTATGACTTTTACCAAATATTTTGTGTGCCGATTAAATCACGCTCTCGATTTAAAGAAAGCAGCAGTACTTTTCAAGTTTAGAAAAATATCCTTTATCTATATTAAAAAAAATGGTTCAGATATATGCAGTGTATACCCTTGCGAAAGTACGATTTTATAATGCATCTCGGTGTAAAATATACGTAACCTGTACATAAAAGCACGACATAATTAATTAAATTCATTTTCTTGGTAGTTAATCAATAATCGCACTAAACAAAGGATATACTTTGGTATTAATCGACTGTTTAAAACCTGTAAATAATATTCCGTTTAATAAGAAAACGCATTTTTCATTGTTAAAAATTCCTCAATCTGCCTCTCACAGCACATGAAATACATCATGTTTACCAATATGACGTCATACTTACAAGT